AATATAATATATACATATTTGCAATTTTATAATTTGAATTTACAAAGAAGAGGTCTACATTTTCTGAGATTTGGCTAATTCATCTAGAATCAAATTTTTATCTAGAATAATCTTATAAAAATATGTTAAATTCATATCACAAACTAGAAGGTGTAGATGGCATTCTGGTAATATCTTTAGGTAATCATATATAGATCAATATATTTTTTATAAATTAGATTTAATAATTTCTAAGATAATAAATTTAAAAAATTTGGGACTATTTTTACTAATTTACAAAAAATGAAACAATATTTATATTACACACTTAATCGAGCCCTCTGTGTTAATATAAGTCTATAGTTATAACTTGATAAAATCGTTAAATTATAGTTATAATTTCGAAATTTGCAGAAAAAATAAATTTTATTTTGAAGATGTTTCCAATACATTTATAATTTTAATTAAAAAATTCAACTTAAAAATATGTTTGACGTTGCCAATTTTTGTGGTGGCGTCTAAAGCTGTATGCCGCTGGTGATAAGGCCATCAGGGCACAGGTCTAGCGATAATAATATAATATTCACTATATAAAAGAAATTCAATCTAAAAAATAATGGAAACATCATTAAAAAAAAATAAGAATGAAGAATAAGTCTAGGAAAACTTCTTAAAAAGTAGGTTACAGTTGAAGATAATGTATAGTTTATGTTAATTAATAGGAATCCCCCCAAACAATCTAAAATTAATTTTATCGATTTAATAAATGGTCTAAAATTTTATATAAATTTACCCTTTCTTGAAAATAAACAGATTTCTTTAAATGTGGATTTTTTAGGAATTAATATAAAGATTGATGTTGAATAACTATTTTTCCTTATCAGGTAATTTGTTGTATAAAGATAGGAGTTATAATACTAACTGAAATATGAAAATAGATATGATTTTCTTATTTTTTTCTTTTAGGAAATTATACATTTCGCAAGCAAGGTATATAAAATTAATTTATATTAATAGAACTCTTAATTAATTTTATAAATATTTTAGTCTCCGACAATTTCTCTATTATGAGCGATAAAATAAGTAAAAAGGAATTTAGGTGATAGATATGATTACAAAAATAAATTATTTTAGCAAATATTCCATACGTTTTACTACACAATGGTATATCAATAATTTAATTAAAAGATTCACATGATTGCATTATATTTATATATCATAAGTGTAATATTATGATTCCCTTTAAAAATATTATATATATGTGTGTCACTGAGTTATTGAGAAATATTAAACAAGTATATAGCAGTTTATTTCATAGTTGAAAGTTCCTAACATTGTTCATTTAAAATATTTTCTTCCATTACCATTCCAATTTTTATTTAGAAATTTTATTTATTTTATACTATACTTATATCATTTATTAAAATGAATTAATATCAAAAAATTAGTTTATGTTTCATGTTTTCATAGCAATAAATATTACAAAATTTATAAATTTTTACCTCAAAATTGTAATTTCCTTTAATTATATTTTAAAAGAACTAGAATATTTTTATCACTTTTAAAATTAAAAAGTGAAGTAAACCATTTGTTGGCTCTATCAGCTTACGTTTTCATTTATTTCTTGAGTCTAAAATAATTTAATAATTAATATTTATATTTTAACATTAACCCGAAAATATGTTTTCTATTATTACTCCTATTAGCCGATCCAAGTATGAATTATTATTTTTTAATTATTGAGTAATAATTTTAACAAATTACAATTTAAATAGCTAAACTAACGATGTTTTACATCGGGCTTTATTATAATAATATTCTAATTTCTAATAAATAGTGAAATTAATATCTTCTATGCATATTTTTTATTAATAGTTTATGATTTGAAGGATCAAAGTATAACTAACCTTAGTGATATATTTTTTCTCCATTTTATTATCCATTGAAACAAACGGATATCATAAAATTCTGTTCTGACATAAAATAGCATTTATTAGATTGTTTTTAAGTATAAATCTATTTTAACAGGAATTTTTCGAATGGAAACATATTCATAAACTAGACCTTTTTTTTAAAAAAATTTTTTAATATTGAACAATTGTGATTTATTATCTATAATGTTTATCAATATATTTTTTAAAGTTCTGATGGCATAATTGTTATGTTTAATATTTTCTTTATATCACAAAACATAAAAACTGTTTAGATCGAACTATAGTGATTTGCAATAATTATTATAGGACGGGTAAGCTATGTTTTATATTGCTCGTTGTAAAAAATTTTAAAATTATTGCAGGCTTCATTTGTCAAATTAAATTTTAAATTAAATGCGAAATATTATTCATTTATAGATCGCGATGTTATAAACAGAACACAAAGTTTATCAATTTGCAATACATATTGTTTAATCCAATGATTACAAATTTCAAAATTATAAGTTTTATTAAATTTTTTAATTAACATGTTATTGGCATGGCCTGCCTACGAATATAGATACAGTCGCTTACTTTGGGTCCCCTTTTTCCAAATTGAATGATGCAGATGCCATCTAAAAAATATTAGTTTATTATCAATTTATAATTTAAATAATCCTTCCTATCTCTTATGACATAAATATTTCAATTTACATTTATTTATCATATCCACATCATCAGAAATAATAAATACGCTACTAATTTATTCTATGAATTAATATCGATATCAAATCTCTCTTAAATATTCCATCAATTCATTAACAAATTTTCACTGCAAAGATACTAGGTAAAAAATTATTTTAAAAAATATTCAAAATTTTTTTTAACAAATTTAAAAGTTTTAATAAAATCGTACGTTAAATTTTTGACATTTATAAAATTTTCTATGGACCATATGCTATGAGAAATTTATCTATGCTCAACAATCATGTTAGCACTCCATTTAAAGATACAAAGACGGGAGAAATCTTACAACCATCATAAAATGGATCACAAAAGCTATGAAGATATTTTCAAAATAATCAATTCAAACGTGAAATTTTAGTTTTTTAAAATTTATTTTTATATGACTATAAATTTAAATTACGTTTGATTTTCATTTATCTTTACTATACATATACTAATGATTAGCACTTAAATTATAATCAATCAAAATTCATAGGAAGATATAACATCTTAATAACTGTTTCAACTTTCTCATATTTACCTACAAATACTAAAAATTTGTCATAAATAAATAAAATTGCTTGTTTTGGTTAATTTTTTATTTAAAATTACCGATAAAAGTTGTGAGAATGAAATTAAAAGATTCATAGCTCACAAAAAAACAAACGACAATATTTTGAAGAGTTTTGGAAAGCAGGTAAATTCATTTTCTTTTTATGAAAAAAATTAGCAAGTAAAATATTGTTAGCCCTGACAAGTTCGGCTTCTAATGAAAAATTATTTTCCATAACCAATCGCTTATTAGAGGAAAGGCGAATACAATTGAAATAAAAATACATGGACATTCTTCTTTTTCTAAATAAAATTTATTTTGATTAAATTAGAAATTATTTTTGTTTTATTAATATGGAATTAGTAGAGAAATAAAACCAATGATAGAATAAATTCAAAAAATGCATAAAAGTGTATCAATAAAGTTTTTAAAAATACCGTGAAAAACAATTAGGCTAGCGTCTACCTCTAATTAATATTTTCATTTGTGATAAGACATGGCTAATACTTTATTGACACAACTTCTAATAAATTTATGAACTTATAATATTGTTAAATCATTAATAAATTCAAAAAATTATTTTACTTATCCTCTACCCCTCTTCACATCACATCGCGAATGCTTGCGTGCACGCCTATATAGATTGATTATCACTATTGATCAATACTAACCATAATAGTTTACCCTATTTATGCTTTAGGAAAATCGTGGGTCACTTACATACTTTTTATTGAAAATTTTTTACGATTCATAAAATCTTTTGTAATAAGTGTTAATATGACAAACTATTATGACTTCCCTTATTTTTTCTTGGCTTAATATTAATGATTCAGTGTATGTCTATATTAAATTTGTTATCAATTAACATATAGAAGGTACATTTTTATCTATCTTATCATGTTTATATATTTTATTTTAGCTTACTTAATATATCCGGACCATTACATCGAAAGTATATATCTTTTAGCTTATTTTTTGGGCTTAGTTATTCATAATTTTTTAAAAAAAACTTAAGCTACAAATTCGCTCATCGGAACAAGTAAATTAAAGAAAGATATATTTTTTTATGTATAATTATTATCATTGATAGGAATGGGAAATAAAAACATTACTATAACCATAGGTATAAATTTTTTAAAGATATTGATTGCACAAATGAATTTTAATTTTAGAATATTATGAAAATGAACCATTAGGTAAAATATAATTATTTTTTCGCTTAGAGAAATCTGTAAATATACGTTTAGAATTACTATTAATTATAGTAATTGCTATTGCTTTATATAAGTATTAAAGAAACGCCTATATATTAAGGAAAATAATTCAATTTTTCTAATAATTAGTAATGTATTATTCTCATCTGCTAAGGAGATGAAATAATCAAGTCATTCAGTGGAAGGTTATTTGAGGCCAAATTTTCCAAAATTTAATATACTAATAATATTTTCTACAATTAAAAAAATGGAAGGAAATGAATAAAAAAATAAGTATCATTTTGACGAAAAACGTGAAATTTATAAAAGAAGTAAAATAGTCTTAAAATCTATTACAAGTCAAAACAACTTATTCCCCTCTCGATTTTTTTTCCATTTATATAATAATAGTAATTAGTGTTACTTGCCTTCCCCACTTACTATCTAATTATTCTTCTTTAATTCATTATTTAATTCCTATATTTTTTTAAAGTTTGATTTCGTAGATTTTTTTTGCCCCATACCTAATTTTATAGGCTAGTTTATAATTCAACATATGCGATATAGCCCTCTTTTCTTAAATAATATTCAGGGCAAATTCGCAATAGGAGATATTTCACCCTTTCCTGTGCGAAGTTCATTAAAAAATATTCCCCATTTTATAATGTATTTAAATTTCGAGTTACAACGTTGAGACCAGGTATAATATATTAGACATAATGCAATGATAATTAAATATTCGCATGCTCGGGAATTATATTATGATGATTATATATAAAAAATGGCTTTATAAGCTTGGAGTTCGAAAGGTTTCAATGCTATGATGTAATCACTTCCATTGCTCGTATCGCTGTAAAGTTTCGAATAGCTAATTTTTTCGGAAGTGAATGCTAAATTTGTAGCGTAGATATGTTTGAAATTCGAACGTGATGGCAGGAGTCGAGATAGGTCAATCTAGGGTTAAGTATTTAGAATATTTTTTTTAAAAAAAAAACAAATATAAAATAAAATCAACAAATCTTGTTCAACTTTAAGGAATTTTTTTTATTGAATGAAATATTCTAGAAGCGTCTGGAGTAAGGAGTAGGATTAAAGGTTTGAGAGATATGGGTTAGGAAGATATATCAATTAATAACAAGTCAAATCTGACAGGTCATGTGATTATAAATAGACCAATAGAAATTAAATTAAAATAAAATAGCCATTGTAACAAAAATTCCGCGCGTTTTTTTTAAAAATTTTGAAAGACCTGATTGAAGTCGGATTACCCATTCTGCGAATGTTTTAAACTACCCAATTTTTTACTTATAGATTTACTAAATTAGCAAAAAAATGACAATTTGCTTAAAAATTCTCAGAATAGGTAGTGGCTATACATGATTTAAATTTAAAAAAAAATTTGCTAAAAAATGTTTAGCAAGGAAGGAATGGAACAAACTTTATAGGAAATTTTTGAGGTATCCATTCGGTAATCGCAATCGTACAAAGTAGTATGAAATATAAATCCTACGGAGAGAGGGAAGCGAGATACGGGGTCATCAAAATTTTCCTGTTAGAAAATAAATAAAAAGTAAATTTAGGGAAAAAATGATTATTTATTTTAGTGTGGATAACCCCTTTGATATATAGGTTCGGTTCAGGTTCCAAGAAGAAATATTTAGGTTCGATTCAGGATTAAAATCAATGGTTTAGGTTTAGAAACCTTCCTCGAAGGTTCTTATAGCTTCAGTAATTTTTTTTAAAACATATGGTAAGCAACCGTTCATAGTTCTTTAATTAAGCTGTTTTAGGTGGGGGTAGATATTATATTTTTATATCCTAAATATTCTCTAACGACTGAAATCTGTTTAAATGTAACATACATTGTTATTGATTGTAGCAAATAGGTAGAATTCAGTAAAAGGTCGCTAAAATTTTCTACCCTTCCATTATGTGTAAAAAGAACTGTTATTGTTAGTACTGTCGATGTCATACTTTATCAAAAAAAAACTATCTTCTTGTTTTTCTATTACGCGCCATATTTTTTTAATGTTTTAAAAGTGAGTCAGTCGTCCAGATTAAATCTTTTTGATTTGGAAACTAATAAAAGAAAGAAGTAATAATTTCACAAAAAATTACCAATTGTTAATTTAATATAAATATAAAACCATATGAGGATCCCTCAGCCGCAAGGTTATAAGATTAACTAGATGCGAATTGGCGGGTAAGTAGTCACCGTTTCCGACATTACCTATCGCAGGCGCTTTCAGGGTCTTCATAATATTGTACCCTTTCTTTGCGCTATCAGAATCCGAACTCCGTAAAATCGCCGGGTGTAAGAGCCTAGCCGAGGCGTGCCATGCTTTATAATTTAGCAACCACGTATGGTCAATAGTTGGCTTTAGATCCATAAATGGTATGCGCGGATCCGAACTGACAGATTTCGAGCTCGAGATCTCGAAAACGAGTTTGAATTTGTTGGTGTAAGGCTCATTGTCCGCCATTACCTCGCCTAGACCGCGGTTGTCATCCTGAGAAAATTTTCGGTCCATTATGACTTCTAAACTGCCTAAATCAAAAATGGGTAAATTAAAGTTATTAAAATCCTCACTTTCATTGGTCCTTAAGGGATCCAATGAAAAAAATAAGAAATTTTTTGAATAGCAGATGAACGTAAAAAAGAGTTCACGTTTGATTTGTTGATTTGCATTTTTAAAGAAGTGGAAAAAATAAATTCAAAAATTTGGCCCATAAATTATTTTTCATAGAAAAAATAATAGGAGTGACTAGTAATTGTAAAAGGCTGTCAATCTCTCAACGCTGTCCATCTAAAATATTTTTTAGTCACCATACGAATTCAAGTTAGGCATTTCTGATGATTTGGGATAAGATGGGGTAGTTAATTATAAAATAAATGCCTTTCAAATTCAGTAAACGCCATTTTTAATTACAGTTACGACACTCATCCCCAAAAATAATAACAAAATATTTTAAAAAATCGTTCGATATCCATTTTTAAAAAATACCTAAATGCAAGCTGCCCACCCCTAGCGGCTGAGCCGTCAAAAGGGTCATTCGAACTTTGTCCCCATTATATGAATCATCTTCGATAAAACTAGAAGTCGGCATGGGATAAAAATTGGCCTGAATCGGTAATTTATCCAAAAAACGTCTTTTTTGAATCTAAATTTTTTTTTTGATTGTTAAAAAAAATAATGACGATTGGTTAAATATGCTTTTATCCATATCTATAATTGGGTTTCTTAATAAAAAAAAGATTTATTTGCAAAAATATTTTTATTATTTTCGGAAAATTACATTCTATTAAAACTTAATATTAAACGGTATCACCTCATTTCTGTGAAAAACACTTTTTTGAGAGCGAACGCAATACGTCAAGGGTAACGCGTTTCGCTGAAATGACAAGTCATCTAGATATTAAAACTTTCCAATGAGTGAAGGCTATATAAAGGGAGAAAAACCGAACCCTCAAAGGTAAGATTTTTGACCTCGACATAATTTAGACTAAAGGTTGTGGGAAGCATATTCGATACGAATATCCGCTCATTATTACCAGTGCTACCTGAAATCCATTATTGTCGGTGTAGAAATAACGTTTTTGGTTACGGATATCAGTGTCGATCCTCATGACAATTTCTTTGTTCGCATCGGTCGATGAAGCCATGTATATATCATTTTCTATGTGCAATATATCGTTCTGAGAGATGGCTAGAATATATTTCAAAAAAAAATACACATTTATATATTGTAATTTAGAGATGTTCAAATATCTTACAATCACCTGATTCTGATTTCGTTTCTTATTTTAGAGAGATCGATCTTTCTTAATACGATTTAGAGTTTCATAAATCATTATAGGGTAATATCTTATTAAAAATTATAAAGCAAAGAAGAAAAAAAACTTACCATCGTCGACTCCTACATTCCACAAGGATACTTTGTGAGTCAGATAAGAAAGAGAACCCATTGAATTGTCTTGATAATTGTCCTCGTAATCATCGTCTGTATTAAAATATAAAAAAAAAAGTTGAATTTTTATAACTCCCCTAGAGGTCGCACGGGTTGTCGTAGCCCAACCTGACTCGGGTACAGACATAAAGACCTTTTATTTTCTGGCTAGGGTTCGGGTTGTATGAGGTGTCTGACCAGAAACCCGACCCGATAAATATAACCTAAATAAAAAATTCGACGTCAACCTGAGTACATTTTTTTAAAAAAAATATGGCTTGTCCAAAGTACCCCGGATAAATTGGGCCTGCTGGTCTCTGATATATAGTTGTAATATTCATCATTCATATATTAATGTATATTCAACTTCGAATATCTTTTTTTATAATATAATACTAAAATACATTCGCGATCCTCAACATTTTGGTGTTAACATATATATTTTGGATTATGCCCTCTATCAAAACAAAAGATGGATTGGGTAAGCCTTAGTGCAGGCTGGACCTGGCAAAATTTTTAGGCCTTATTTTGCCATCTGCAGGCTTCCTATGAAAAATGCACATTTAATACTTTATAAATGTTCCATTTTTATAGAAAGTATGAAATTAAAATAATGGAAAGATTCAAATATAAATCGTTGGACCAATAACAAAAAGGTTTGATCGTTGGACCAATAGCAAAGGGGTTTGTTTATGTATTTTATTTATCTTAAGAATATATTTTTAAATTATACAAACTCTTCCACCCAACACTTAATTGACTTGGCATATCTTGAAATAAAAATGTACTTTTATTTTGCAAAACATAATTTTAATTTATTAAAAACAAATATTCTCACCAGCAGTAAATTTTTTATCCTGAAAAACTAATTTAAAAAAAAAATAATATAATACTTAATTAACACCAAAAATGAATGGGTAAATAAATTGAAAAAATGGAAATTTTGTTAATCACAATATTTGAATTAATAAAAAATATCAAAATTTTGATGCATAAAAGTTGGTAATAAGAGAATCGAAATTGTTTTCTGTATATTTATTCATTAACTTGACGTTGACAACCATATGAGAAGTGAGTGAAAGTATATCATATAACGCGCATCAAAGTGTCAAAAAATGATTCTTAAAAAATGAACGTCCTATTACAAAAAATGTTAGCTATATTTAAATATATATCTATTTGTTAATCGATACTAATCAATCAATCAATCAAGTAAGGCAAAACGAAAATAAACAAGCTCTTCGGTTTAAAATTAAATTTAACTTTAAGGTCATAACATGTAAATTGAAAACGCAATAAAATATTAAGAAAACTAAAAATACAAAAAGTGAATTAATAAACTCCAATAAAAAAAAAATATATCCATTTCCGTAAAATTGGTAATGGCTTGTTATATCAATAAAAAAATTTTCGCGCCTACTTTGAATATTTGAATTTAATGACAAAGATCTTAACCTGAGCCATGCATCCATGATCTCGTACAAATCAAATCAAATCGAGTATTATAAAAATTAACGTTATGTTATATAGTCGTCTCCTTGAATTGTAATAACTTTTAAGATGATACGAAAAACGATCATTATGTATATTAGATTATTATCAATTTTTTATACAATCATTCAAAAACGAACATACATAAACAAAAATTGGGGTGGGGGCGGAGGTTGTCATTTGGGGGAGGGGTAGTGTGAATTCACCACTATTGATAACTTAACCTGAATCTTGATAATTTAAGTTTCTTTTTCAAAAGCATATTATGGCAAAAATATAAGTTATATAAATAACCCTAATTTAATGTTCCTGTTACCTCTAATAAAATAAATTTTTCTTTGTTTGTTTAGAACCATGGATAGGGCATTAAAATGATATAACAACATCTGCGACAAATGCTAGATAAGGTATTTATATGGTTTATTATATATATATATATATATGTGATTAACGTTCGTGAAGTTTTTTATTATCAGCATGTATGATGTGATAAAATAAAGATAAATTATCTCATAAACTAATAATCACTTCATCAGCGACCAGCTGTATGCTGTCAAAACTTCGCCCATAGCTTCCTCTGGCTCCTTAACATCTTTTCTAGTGGCTAGATATCTAGCCCGTTCGTTTTGGAGTGGTAAGGTGTTGAATGTATTAAAGGGAATCTTCGAAATTCTCCAGAAATAAACTGATGGCCATTATCTGATACAATTTATTTTGGCCTTTAACGGCCCGATAATTGCTATAGACGTGGTCTCTCTCATCAACTCGACCCTCAACCCATTTAGTGTGTGTATCATCTCCAACTAACCGTTAATATGAATCTATAAACCCCGCTAAATCTAGATGAATGCGTTCCCATGACGTATTAGAGATGTTCCACGAATATAAAGGTATCTCCGTTATAATTGACCCATTATTTTGAAAGAAAAACATTAAACCAACATTTTGTTCAATACCTTTATCGCAATTAGGCCACCAAACATTTTAAAGAAGCATTGATTCCTGGATACCCCCTTGTGTATGATAGTTAATATTGATTTTCTTGACTAGTTCTACTGACTATTCCTTAAGACTATTACTAAAAAAACACGTTAACCTGAATTATTTTTGGCATCAAAACAAAACCAATTCATGCTCGATCGATATTTTAAATTGCTTTATTTAGCAGTCTATCATTCGTTGTTTCTCTATGGATGTTCAACTTTAATCGAGATATGTAACGAGTAAATCTATAGATTTATATTTTTAAATACTTGTTTTTGGTCGTTATTTGATTCTATACTTTCTATAATGGGAGTCTAGATAATATATTTGCCAGAATATGTTTTCTTGGACGTTATTTGTAGTAATGTAGGAATATATTGTAATATACTATTTATATATTATGAATTATTATATTCGTCAATTAGATATGATTATAATGATTTTATATACAGTTGTATGATTATTATAATATTGGGTGAGGTTAACTACCTAACACCCATAGCATCAATTGTAATTATAATTTCCGCAATTTCCATATGATTTAACAACCTTGTGAAATTATATATATTAAAGATTGAATAAACCTGTGTACGTAGTATAGTATTCAATTTCAAAATCATGGACGAACATTTTCCATGCCCTCTTAGCTAATCGACATTGGAGTCGGAGAAAAATTATGCACCAATAGAAAATGAGGCACAAGCACTCTTGTTTGGAAATGTTAAAATTTTCCACTTTTATTTTTGGAAAAATTTTTTTTATTGCGAACAGATCAAAAATCTTTGGAAAAATTATTTGGCGATAAACGAAGTAACTCAAATACAATGGGGGTTCCTCATATTCGTGGAACATCTCTAAGCCACAAATCGTCTTAGATAATGACTCTCGGCTTATTTCTGCAGAATTTCGAAGATTCTGTTTAGTAAAAAAAAAATATTAAATTAATACATTTACCACACTTAAGAGTCGATATTTTCATCACTAGATAAGATGTTAAGGAGCCAGAGGAAGCTATGGCGAAGTTTTAATGAGCCGCGAGCACCAATCTACTGGCGAGAAAAGACAGCTCACGATGAGCACACTCGAATAAGGGAATTCGAGGTTTCATAACTTGTATGAGGAGAGAATGAATTATAGAATCCAGAACTGGTGGACATTCATATTCGGTAGAAAGTAGGGATATAACGATACGGAAGCATCAAAAGAAATGGGGAAGCCAGAGAGTGAAAGAGAATATGGTGTGGGAAATAGATAAAAATTGGGAAAATGTAGAAAAACCACCTATAGAAGGATCAACCAGCGAAACAGAAAAACTGATGAAAATTCGGGTCGAATGGATATGTCTTCAATACTTCCCGAAATGGAAACAAAAATGAGACAGAAATCACAACGATCGAGGAAGCCTACCTATCTTCTGAATGAGGAGATTTAAAATCTTAAGTGTAGGAAAATGTGATAAATGCTATAACGTCTACCTTTATTCGACGACTTTTGAATGTTGTCGTAAATGAGAGGAAAACGCGTTAACACTTTCGATTCTAAGGGTCCCCTCATCACGGCGATAAAAGATTTTTGCGGATCGCGAACCGGATTCAGCTCCTTTGCTTCCGTTTCGGGCATGAATATGTAAGCACCGCTGGTCTGAGAGGTGGATTCCTTGGCTTCGTAGTAAGAGAATTTGAGGCGAGAAGTTATGGTACGCGTTTGGGTTATGTATTTCTTGTAGTGTTATTTTCGAGTTATATGGAATATAAATCCTAAACCATTTATTTGCCCTATTCCCTTTTAATTTTATATAATACGTTCCTTCCTTTTCTTTCTTTGTTTCAGATATAGAAAATTTAAAAAAAAAGACGCTCAATTGAAATTCAAATTTATAAAGGACAATTTAAACCCGCGAAATAAAAATGTCACCTTAATTTAGTGTTATTAAACGGTTCATTTTGAGCCGATTTTTAAGAACGGCTAACTCAATATTTTAGCCTAAAAAATATAGCCTAAGCCTTGGATTTCGCTAACAGATGTCCTAACCTTGGTTCCTTCTACAAGCAAAATCTTCAGGCTTGAGTTATATTATTCTGGATGAGATAGTGAGTTAGCCGTTCTTAAAAATCGGCTCAAAACGAGCCGTTTAACAACACTACCTTAATTCACCGAATATCTTCTCAAATAGCGATTTAAAGGAATATTTAAAGCAAATGGTTCGTGGTTAAAGGATATAGCTTCATTATAGATATAATAAAGATTAAGATTAAAAACTTGAATAGAAAATATATTGTCTTAAAAACCTGTAACAAGGCGGTGCTAGAGTCGAACATCAGTTTGACATCCGAATTGTAAATAGAAAATGCGTCAGCTCCCTCGTGGGTGGGGGATTTGAAACCCACCTTAAAACCGTTCCTTTTTAAATGGGGGAAAAAAATAGCTATTTATTTTTAATATTATCATTATATCTTTCTTAGGTTGATATAAATGAGTGTTATTTCGTGGTTAATTCGCGACTTTTAAATTAAATATAATATGAAATTTAATTAAATTATTTTTTTTGAAATGTAATATAATTACATTTGAAATATAATGAATAAATATTTTTTTTGTATTTATAACCGGAGATAGACCATCTTATCGAAAATAATTACAAATATGTAACGAGACAAAAGGTTTCCTTTTTCTAAAATTTGAGAAGCATTATATAAAACATGTAGGAAAAAAAACAAATCTAGGAATTATAATCTAAAGAAAACAATCGTTACATTCTTTTTTAATATTAGGATTACAAATATTCATTTTCTTTATTATTATTATTAAAAAGTAACTTAACGCAGGTAAGATACTTTTTAAAACTAGTAGCATGTAATAATAATAACACTTTTCTACCCCCTTCTCCTAATTCATTTTCGTCAAAATATAAATTTTGTTTAAATCATGAAGATGAAAAACAAACCTCTTCAGATCTCCGAGTAATCGATTGTATATCCTTCCACCACGATTCCAAACATCAATTCCCGCCAGGCTCGTTTGAGAAGATAGCAAACAGGATTGCTCCCTTTTTATCTCATACGGGGTGGCACTTAAGGCTGGCAACGTTACCTTGAAGACCAGCTGATTTAAGAAGAATTATATATGTAATTTGGTTAAATTAAACACATGGAGGAAGGAAGAAGAAAGTGATCTTGTTATCAAATAAATTAAAAAAATGCGCAAGTTTTTAAGTGTAAAACTTAACACAGTAATGCGTACAAAAAAAAAGCAGACGATAATATAATTTACAAAAACCAATTCTTTTTTTTTTAAAAAAAAACAAGGGATGCATTTGGTAAAAAGCAGACGTTAAATTTGCGTGAACTAAAATGGCGGATAGATTTACGATTACACAAAAAAAAGGTATATTTATGATGCGAAACGAAATGTCAATGAGTGTGTGTGCTGAGGATAAACAAGTTAAAGAACAATATTTTACGAATTTGCGGATAATTCTTTGGTCAATATCGGCTCACAAACTGTTACTCGATTATTATCCAATCAATTCAATGTGTACTTTCATCTTTAAATCAGAAGAAATATCTGGAAACGTGCCTTTATCTATCACAATCAATTTAGCCTTCCTCCAATCCTCCACTACTATCTTGATTACAAGTTTTAACATTTAGATTACTTAATATTTTAAAGATCGAATAGTATATTAATTCTAAACATCAATCTATCAAAAGAGTTATGGGCGTATTATAAATTATTTTCCTTCTTACCTCGAAGGCCCTCAATTCTTCGGTCGTAGAAAGTCCAGCGAATGGATCGAACTTGAATTCGGGATTTATTTGAGCCTTTATGACTTGCTTCGTGGCGGGATCTAACAGGCACACCTCTTTGATATTCACGCGTAAGGTGTAGAGTTCCTGCCTCTCTTGGGCGAGAGAATTGACTAAGTAAAAAATTCTTTTTTTAAAAAATACGTCGATTAAACCTGTGAAATAGGAATAATGACTCGAAGATAAGGTGAAATGCCTTATATAGGTGTGGTAATGGTAAAGGGCTGAGGTTGGGGAAAGTCAACATAAAATGGCTAGATTATAGATTTAATAAAAGAGCGACCAATCGCAATAATATATGTGCTCCTTCATTTTTTTTCTTTAACCTCAGATATATATAATAAAGCAACTTAGAGATTTACTTGCTATCCTGTTCCTTTTCGGGATCAAAATATATAAAAATTTTGGACTTCTCAGTTTCGTTTCCGCTAACGATGATAAGTTGTTCAGCGCCGTTTAAAAAGTTAGATGACGAAGAATCCAATAAGAGATTGAGAGACGAGTCTAATATTCTTTCAGAGATTTTTATAGCTCTTAGCATTCTAATAAATATATTTTTTTGGAGTAATTGAATAATATCAAAATAAAATAGATAAATATATGATTTTCTTTGGTTCTTTTCTTAAAAACTCGCCCAATTGATTCTGTATATAAATACTTAAAAATGGAAGACATTTCCTGGTCAGGCCTATAAATGTATGTCACCTGACCATTCCACAAATCTTTCTAACAACTTTCCCTAGTTTCTTCATCAATCCATGAAATTCTTTTTTTTTCTATTTCCATGTAGATCAAAGTTTTACGCTCACGAACTTCAAAAAGCATGGCTTATTATCTAATTCTTTCATTTTTTTTATTCCATTGTACTTATTCTAAATTTATTCATAAGTACAATGCAACTTATTTGTTGTGAGTTTCACATCTTCTCGTGTTATCAAATTTGCTACAATTGACCGGCGGCCTTCGCGAGAGAATTTTTTTTTGAAGCAAAAATCCTAGATTTCTACAATCGCCTCTCCGAAATATTTTTTATTTGCCAACACCCTTCCACAGGAGTCTATGCCTCATGTAAGATATATGGAGCCAACTGACCCCCCCCCGCCTCCATCTTATTTTTGTTATCAAAATGCCCTAAAATAATTCACTCCCCACCCCCTTAATAGAAAAGAAGCGATAGTGTAAATAGATCGAACCTGAAAGCATAGTCCTCCACAACATGATGCCTAGCTGTACCCGTTATACCATCGTGATGTTGAAACAATCCCAGATCATTCCGCGCCGTATCTAACAGAGGGTAAAAAATTTCCAGATGATCCCTGATAGTTGGCTGGCTTTGGTAGGTCACGATAGCCAGGGAATAAAATATTTCTGCCGCTCTTATAATAATTATTTAAATAATAATAAAAAAAAAATATATCCTACAATGATTTATAAAATAATAGCAAGGAACGTTTTTTCCCTCTACCTCATTCTTTTAGAATTTTTTTTTTTTTTAAAAATTACTGTATAAGAACATTCCGATTCTGATATGTTGTGTAATCTTTAGGAAATTTTGGGGCAAGGTTTTTACAATCGGATGCCCTTCCTGACATCAACCCCCTTTAGGTGGTTTTTACTCTCCATCGAGGAGACGGTGATCATATTCTAGACCCGGACCGCGGGGAACCTTTTAAACCCCCATTAGCCACCAAAACACGTTGCCACTCTCCGGCCACGATGGGGCTGAAGGTAGGTTTTCGGGAGTGAATTGTTATAAATATCTTTTCTTTTTCTTTTTTAAAAAAAAAGGCAAAGTTATTTCAAAAAAAATATGAAGCTACCGTTTAAGACTATAGTAAAACCCTGTTATAGATAATTTCCAAAGGGGGCAGAAAATTTAGTTAACTATGGCAACTGTTAACTTTACCCGATAGAGCTAACTTTCACGTTTTTTTTAAATTTTTTTTTATCTTTCTTTCTTTCTTTCTTTAATCCAGGTATTTAAATAATTAAAGATATAAAACTATAATCTACTCTTTCGAATATTATTCGATGGTACCCGGGTAGGCTAGTTTTTTTTTTCTAATCCCCTTTTTTCATTTTATGTTATCGTTACAGATCAAACCTATCAATTCTCAAATAATTATCTGCTATTTTCACCCAGCTTGTCTTTGGTCGCCTTTTGGGTCTTGTACCCTAAACTTCCAAGCAAAAGGCATTTATCCATTTAAATGTCTTTTGACTTCCGAAAGTTTCAACATGTTCAAACACCATTTCAGCTTATATTATCTCACGGCACCACCTATCGCTTTTATCCTAATCATTTAATCAGTTTTTTGCTAGTTTTTCTCTCTCAGAGATACCACAATACCTAATTAACCATTCATCCGTTTTTCCTAGCGTGGCTTCATGTCCCGCTGCCACATATTTCACAAATCACAACTTTTTTTACTTTCATTTGCATAAAGTTTTCCCTTCATAGCTAGAGAGACATTTTTGTCCGTTAAAATGGAAGACATCTCTCTGAACTTCTTCCACGCATATCTTAATCTTTGCCAGTCAACGCCTCCATATGTGCCATGAGTATTCGCTTGGGTAAAAAAAGCTTCCCACTTTTTCCAAAGTTCTTCCATATCCAATATCAGAATTAGTCTTATCACCATCGTCATTAATCAGTTAAAGTTTAATCACGTGATATTATAATATTTTCAAAAGATCACGTGAATGCATGTCGTGTCCTTTTCGTTTAAAATTATTATTTAAGAAGTTATTTAAGCGAATGATATTTTGATTATTCAATACATGTACACTTTTAAATAAATGTAAGCTTAGGTTACCATTAAAATCATTGGTATAAAATTTGTAAGCAAAAAAAAAATGAATACCTCAGTTTGTATTCCAAGATCCTCTCCATCCTCTTGTACTTAGGTCTGCTCGTGTAATACCCACTCCAATAATCGTTATCCTTGTCGGCGTACGTGAAAAAGTCTCCTCTCAAAACCGGAAACCTCTTAACAGATTTTTCTTTGGAATTCGCATCGTTCTTAGTAGTAGTGGCCTGTTTAATCGCTTCGAAGTATTCGGAAAGGGTAGCAAATTTAATCTGCGTTTAATAACACAACTTTGAGTATCTCAATAAAATATTTTCCAGGAAAATTCATCATTATGGTTACCCTGTATTAACAGTTGGCACAAATTCGCGGTAAAAAAAATGCCTATAGCCATGACTGGCGCCAACTGTGAATGCACGGTTAGGCATTTTACTTTGGCATTGTATTGCGGATGATTATTGAGGTAATCCATGATTTGCAGATAATTTTCCATTTGGTAAGTCCATTCCTTTCGCGTTTTATACCTAAAATCGTCGCCCAATGGCACTAAAAGATTGTTGGTCTGGTACAACTGGCTTTTTTTGCGATACTGATCAAGCAAAAGATTGGCTCTGCATGCAAACAATAAATAGATAGTACGTGGTGTTTAGTTATATTTTTTTTCTCTAAAATAATAGAATATATCAATATTTTTCTTCCCCATAATTATCCCACTAATATAACCTCTCTCTAACATTTGACGCGCTTATGGATTGAGGGGCAACATTCCACGGACAGCTTATGCCCGTGTTGGGAAGTCTGTAGAAATCGAATTGGCAACAAACCTTGGGGTCAGGGCCGCAAGTATGAGGTATATCGTAGAAGTAAAAGGGCATCATGTGACATAAAATGTCGTTGGAACCTACGAAATCTAAATATATAATTTGTTGTTTTTTCATTTTAAAAAAAAAGATTTAATAAGACCATGCCTAAAATTATTATTAAAAAATAACACTCAAAAAATTAAATCAATAAAATAATTTTCCTATAAAAAAAAATAATAAAATATTAAATTTAACAAAATAAGTGAATTATAAAATGATTGAGTGGCTTGATTATGAATAATATTCAACAAATATTGGCAGATCATATCTAAAAATATATTGATATTTTAATATTTGCAATTAAATATTGTTATAGATTATATTTTATATTAAGGATTATATTAATAATACTCAGAATTTACGGAAATTATGGCAGGAAATTCATTGATATCAAATGATATTTTAAATAAGATCTGATACATAATTCATTTACCCCAATTTTGCCTCCAATAAAACTCCAGGGACTTTGAGAGGGCTAACGTTTTTTTGACGAAGTAATGCACCCTTTGTATCAGGGTCGACTCTAACCCAAAAGACTTGAGGATGTAAGCGTTAACCGGAGAATGGCCGAACGGATCTATGAACCAGCCGTGCTTGGGTTTAATCCCTTATATATTTTACATCTTTATTGTTCTTGTAAGCTAAAAATTATTGTACACTTGATCTAAAGCCATTCAATTGGGAAGCTAAATTGTTACAAAATTAGCATCATGCCAAGAACGGTAAATGTAAAAGAGCTAGATATCTGGTTACTTATCTGAATCAGTTTCCAAACCACAAAAAAAATGAGTTATAATTATGATAAAACTATAACGTCACGCGTTAAGCGTGAAGTAAATCATGCTTTTGGAAACACCAATTCTGAAATACAAGTAGTATATCTTATTGCTTTAACCTGTTTGTGAATGGTTTAATGGGGGGGGGGGGGGGGATAAAATCGTTGGTATAATAGAAAACATTTGCTAACATTAGCATTATAAGCCAGAACGGAGATTATTGAAGTTCTAAATATCTGTTGTTAACAATTAAGTCCTCACTTATTTAAGCCTTCAATCAATTTGGCTAATCACAAAAAAACTAAGCAAATTATAAGCCAAAAAAAAAAAAACTATGACATGACGCTTGCTCGAAGTCAGCCAAACCTTTGGAAAGCAACTCTGAAACTTATAATAATTATATTTTTAAGCGCCTAACCCCGTTTGGTAGGTAATACATAGAAGAACGCATCATTGACAAAATAATAAAAATTGCCAAGATTTACAAAATGTTAGCACTAAATATCTGGGTGCGTCAACCTGATTAATACTCACTAATTCATCAATCAGTTTTCCCCAATCAGTAGACAAATCAGTTACAAGCAAAAGACTATAATGGAGAGCCTTATCCCCCCCCCTCCTATTTCAAATAAAATCTCCTTTCATAAAATATCAAAATAGAAGAGTTATTTATTCCGATTTTGGGGATATAAATAATTTCGGCATTTTTAAATTTCGCTCTAAAGTAAAAAAATTACTTACTTCCCAATTTAAAAAAAAAAGGATATTTTTTTAAAAAAGCATTAAAATGGAACCCAAGTGATTGTGCAACCAGACGTTCCCTTGTATCATTTGGCCCACCATGGCGGAATAGTGGGTGTTCGCTTCGTCATTCATGACCCAACCCCCGTTTACGAATTCCAATCTTCCTTCTTCCGTGAGTCTTTTTTTTAATATTTATTTAATGAAAAGTATGATAACAATCTTGGGAAGAGTTTTCAGAAACCTAAAAAAAATGTTTTACACAGTAAGGAAATAGAGTTCCAAACCCTTCTGTCATCTATGAGCAAGATCTCCAAGCTCACATAAATGTTACTTTTGGCTAAAATCTTAAACGGGCAGTTTTTAAAAATCGATACAAGTCCGGCTTTTTTTCTAGCAACACTAGAGAAAGAAATATAATTTTTTTTAAAAAAATCAAAAAATCTGTGCGGCAGTTAGCGGGAACGGCGGGGGTTATTTATTCCAATAATCTATTATTTCTTTAAAAAAAACAATAATCCATGATTGAGTTATAGTATTAGAGATAAGATCTAGATTTGGAAATCAGATTAAGCTCAAGGAAGTAAAATTTTTCCCAGATTTTGGGTTTTAGCTAGTGCTGTTTTGATTTTGGCCGATTTTTAAAATTAAGATTTTATAACCAAAATAATATTAAGCACCCCTTAAGATTTTTGTTGTTAATACATGCCTCCAAACCATGCTCAACACATGAACGGACTCTCCTGTGTAGTATTTTTTGGTTAGAATATTGTAGCCGTTTTCAAAAACTATTGGCAACGGGTTATTAATTTACTTCAACTTTAAATAATCCGAGGAGGTTTTTAAAAATATGGGTTTGGAATACCTGTCCTATAAATTTTTGTTTTACTTGACAAAACCCCTTCCTAAGTCATTTTTTTTTTAAATGAGAGATTAAAAAGTTTCTGGAAAATTTAAAGCCGGTAGTGAGTATTCTAAGGTCTGCACCCAATGATGCATATATTCAACTCGGCAATTCATTAATAAAAAGTGTCCAATCAATACCTGAGTCATTAAGCTACACCGACCTAACTTTTCATTTTTTAAATATTGCTTTTATTTTATAAATTTTTTAGTATTTATATACAAAAATTTACCTTGTAATTTTTCTGATATAGAATTTGAAAAAAATAAATGTATTTTAATTATTTATCAAAATAAAAAAAATCCTTTATAAAATGAAAACTTTTTAACGGCTGCTCTCTTTTCATTGGTAGTTGAGTTCCACCAATGGGAGAAAAACGATATTTCGGCATATATAAATTTCATTCTTGGTTCGGTGGTCAGGTATTCAACCATGTAATCTAATATGTACTTCGTTTCTGTGTCGTAGTATTCCAGGAAGGTTTTGTGCCAGCCTGCGAGATGTTTGTGGTGACATGAGCATATATTTGTTTTTATAAAAATATATTTAAAAAAAAGTTTGAGATTTATATAAAAGATTGCGATATACATTTGCGCTCTTGGCAACTCTCACTAATTTGACCAAAATTTTAAGTCCATTAATAAATTGGGCATTTCTCTAAGTTTGGCAAAAGTCTTGGCACCAACGGTGGGGGAATCAGACAGGTTTTACTGTATATCAAAAATTTATAAAAAAATGTCGGGTTATGTTGTGTATGTCTTAAATTTTTTTTTGAAAAAATAAGTTAAAACTACCAGTTTGAAATCGAAACGAAAAATAGTTCTGCTTCCGGTTATTAAAATTTTGAAAATAGGAATCCAGTTCAATTTCCGGTTGCTAAATTTGATCCGCGGGTTCCAGGATGTGCGTTATTTTAAAAGGAAGCAAAGATTGCGTTACCAGAATTACTAACAAACAATAAGGATACTAGACTAAGAGACGACAAGATGATCTACCTTCCGGAGTTCTTATGGAGTTTATAATTTAGGTTAGAACAAATTCTGCAAACATTTTGTTTCTAAAAGAATTTGTATGCGTTCGACTGTTCAAAAAAATAAAATGAACACGTTAGCATTCAATCTTCACTTGCAAAGGAATAATAGATGATATTTTCGCAAATTATCCATCTATAGCAACATAAATCATAAATTTTGGAATGGAATGAAAGGCTTAAAATTTTAGATGCCCTGCCGAGGGTCCAGCAGGTCCGTGAGACTTTCCACTGAAACAAACCTCATCGAATAAGTTGGGATCGGAATTGAAGGTTACAGTGATGTGGGTTAGGTTTAATATATTTAATAAAAATGGGTCTTATCGCATTTCAGTAAAATTTGGGCATTGAGTGAAATTGATATAATTTGGTAAAATGTTAAATAACGCCATTTATCTTTACCAAAAAAAAAATGAATATACGTTCGCGTTCATTCATCGAATCTAATAAATAGGCTAATGATAATGCACGCTAAGCGTGCACTGTTTTTTCATGATTTTCATAAATTACCTATCACGCCAAAAACGTCATATGTTTATTTTTATATAAGTAAATAAATAAACTTACGAATGTAAATGTAAACAATTATTTAAACAGTCAATTTATATTATATAAGTAATCGTATTTATATACTTAGTTACAATATTTAAAATTTAATAAAACAGGTTATTCCTTTTACAGTACCTGTTCATTTTACAGTACCTTGATAGCGAAGTATTTTTATACTCAATTTATATTATAAAAGTATATTGTTATATACTTAGTTACAATAATAATTTTATATTTAAAATTAAATAAAACAGGTTATTCCTTTTACAGTACCTGTTTCTTTTACAGTACCTGTTTCTTTTACAGTACCTTAATAGCCAAGTATTTTTATACTCAATTATATATTATAAAAGTATATTGTATTTATATACTTAGTTACAATAATAATTTTAAATTTTAATAAAATAGGTTATTCCTTTTACAGTACCTATTTCTTTTACAGTATCTTGATAGCCAAGTATTTTTATACTCAATTTATATTATAAAAGAATAATAGTTGTTTAATTTATAGTTATGCTTATACAGGCACACTGGACAGGTTAAATGTAAGCCTTTGTAGCTACCCACCCTATTCAAATTTTTTACTTAAGTTGTTAGGCCCACCCTGGTTCTCTTTAAATACAAGCCCTAATCAAAAATGTATGTAGTTGAACATACAAATAAAAACTATTTGTGATATTTGGAATGGTTAAATTAAATATACTACCCCTTATTTACCATCTCTCTATTAATTCAAGATTATGATATAAATATTAGCACAAAAAAAATCCATATAATAATGATTATTAATTTATACCCAACTCATTAATATTTTTTACCCAACTCAGGCCAAATAAAATTTTCAAAATATTGCTCAGACTGGCCTATCATGAATATTTTTTATAAAAAATCTTATATTGATTCTTATGGATGAATATCAAAGCAATTTTGATCTAGATGAAGAAATAATTTCTACAAGTCAAAAAAAATTAAAAGTAACAATACATATTTTTTTAAATAAGGTTATCTATTCTATAATCTATTTCATAGGTTGGGGCACAATTTGTAACATTTAATGACTTGCGAGAAGCTATAGATAAATATGAAAATCTAGTGTTTACTAATTACCATATAGCAACATGTACCAAGCTTGGTAATTTTGATGAAAACATAATTCAAACAATACAATACAAATATATACGTTATGTTTGTATCCATGGAGGAAGACACTTTAAAAGTCGTTGGAAAGGAAAACGACTCACCCAAACTTTACAACTAAATTTCCCAGACAGCTTTTCAGTAAAGCACATAATAATAGGGGATCTACATAGGCTAGAGGTTTCCAAAATGAATAGTGGGCATAATCATGATTTGGGAATATATTTTTAAGAAATATACAATTTTTATTTATTAATTTAGATTATAATTTATTCATGCGTTTACCTAAGCAACGTAAAATAAATGATGAATCAAGATCATTAATTGTCAAGTGCTTAGAATATGATGCTTCAATTCCTAAAATAAAATATGTCCAAAAAAAAGGAATTTATGCTACAAATCGTGATTTATATAATATAAAAAAGAAAATACTATCAACCAGGGGACTCTAAGCTCTTGGATGTTATCGACTTATTAAAAAATCAAAACCCTGATAATATTATCAAAATAGTTAGTGAAAATAATAGCCTTCAGGGGATATATTACCAGACCCAAATATGAAGGAATACTTTAGTGCATTTCCAGAGATTCTCCTGGTTGATGCAACTTATAAATTAAATTATTATCAAATGCCAGTATTTACTCTCTTTGTTATTGATGGCGAAGAACAAACGAGATTTGCTGCTATCTGGATAATTTCTTAAAAAGAGTTAAAGATCAAACCTTTTCTTTTATTTTTAGCATCTTTGCGTCTTTTCAAATATCCAGGACTCATTTTTTCTGGCATTTCAATATTTTTAATAACATTGAAATTGATTTCTACTTCACTATGTTTCTGTGGATTTTCTGGTTTTTGCATAACATATTCTAAATAATCATTATTTAAATTTACAGAAACATTAAAATTTTTTTAATTAAATATAAAATGATTACCATTGTCATTAAATTTAAGTCCTGATGTGGGATAAAATATTTCAATGGCATGTTCAAATTTTTCAATAATTTTAGGATTTGGCTGGCATACATCCTTATAAATATAATTTAGGTATGAATATGTTTTGTCAAATGCATTTTGATTCATTTCAGATGATATTGAGGCTATATTTTGAATGATATCTTTAATTTTTCTTAATTTTTCGTCAGATGACAAAAAAATTTTTTCTTTTACAATATGATTTATTGTCATGCTATGATCAGATATAATATCATTCTGATAAATATTATTGGCAAATCTATTTATCCTTAGTCATATAAACTTTAGAATTCATGAAATAATCTCTCTGATATCTTGGGTGACATAAATTTTGATCATATAGATCCATACAATTGATCTTTAACTCTTTTTAAAAAATTATCCAGATAGCAGCAAATCTCGTTTGTTCTTCGCCATCAATAACAAAGAGAGTAAATACTGGCATTTGATAATAATTTAATTTATAAGTTGCATCAACCAGGAGAATCTCTGGAAATGCACTAAAGTATTCCTTCATATTTGGGGTCTGGTAATATATTCCCTGAAGGCTATTATTTTCACTAACTATTTTGATAATATTATCAGGGTTTTGATTTTTTAATAAGTCGATTACATCCATGAGCTCAGAGTCCCCTGGTTGATATAGTATTTTCTTTTTTATATTATATAAATCACGATTTGTAGCATAAATTCTTTTTTTTTGGAGGTCATATTTTATTTTAGGAATTGAAGCATCATATTCTAAGCACTTGACAATTAATGATCTTGATTCATCATTTATTTTACGTTGCTTAGGTAAACGCATGAATAAATTATAAATTAATAAATAAAAATTGTATATTTCTTAAAAATATATTCCCAAATCATGATTATGCCCACTATTCATTTTGGAAACCTCTAGCCTATGTAGATCCCCTATTATTATGTGCTTTACTGAAAAGCTGTCTGGGCAATTTAGTTGTAAAGTTTGGGTGAGTCGTTTTCCTTTCCAACGACTTTTAAAGTGTCTTCCTCCATGGATACAAACATAACGTATATATTTGTATTGTATTGTTTGAATTATGTTTTCATCAAAATTACCAAGCTTGGTACATGTTGCTATATGGTAATTAATAAACACTAGATTTTCATATTTATCTATAGCTTCTCGCAAGTCATTAAATGATTCAAATTGTGCCCCAACCTATGAAATAGATTATAGAATAGATAACCTTATTAAAAAAAATATGCATGGTTACTTCTAATTTTCTTTGACTTGAAGAAGTTATTTCTTCATCTAATCAAAATTGCTTTGATATTCATCCATAAGAATCTAATATAAGATTTTTTTTTAAAAAATATTCATGATAAGCCAGTCTGAGAAATATTTTGAAAATTTTATTTGGCCTGAGTTGGGTAAAAAATATTAATGAGTTGGGTATAAATTAATAATCATTATTATTTGGATTTTTTTTGTGCTAATATTTATATCATAATCTTGAATTAATAGAGAGATGGTAAATAAGGGGTAGTATATTTGATTTAACCATTCCAAATATCACAAATAGTTTTTATTTGTTAAATATAAAATTATTATTGTAACTAAGTATATAAATAGAATATACTTTTATAATATAAATTGAGTATAAAAATACTTGGCTATCAAGGTACTGTAAAATGAACAGGTACTGTAAAAGGAATAGGTACTGTAAAAGGAATAACCTGTTTTATTAAAATTTAAAATTATTATTGTAACTAAGTATATAATTACAATATACTTTTATAATATAAATTGAGTATAAAAATACTTGGCTATCAAGGTACTGTAAAAGGAACAGGTACTGTAAAAAGAATAACCTGTTTTGTTAAATTTTAAATATTGTAACTAAGTATATAAATTCGATTACTTTTATAATATAAATTGAATGTTTAAATAATTGTTTAGTTTTTCAAATAGAAAAAATAATAAACAATAACATTTACATTCGTAAGTTTATTTATTTACTTATATAAAAATAAACATATGACGTTTTTGGCGTGCTAGGTAATTTATGAAAATCATGAAAAATAGCCTAATAAATATTTAATATAAATAAATGTCTATTTTGGCAATAAGACCACATCACATGTTTAGTCGTTCAATATTTTTACTTTGCATACGAATAGAATATAATATATTATAATGTATAAAATAATTGTAAAACAAGAACAATAAAATATGATCAAAAACTTTTATATTAGTTTTTTTAAAAAATTATCGTCTGATAAACACAAAGGGCGATGCTTAGTTAAAAACGAAATTTACTCCACTAAAAAAAATGCGTTAGAAAGTGAGCGAAAATGGGATAGCCGTATTGTATTTAATACTTAATCTTTCTTCCAAATTCCTCGCCGAAAATAAAGACCAAATTTTATAAATCGATATTTTGTCCTTAGGAGGGAGGGGGGCTTCACATATGCTTATTTTTATTTATCCTGTTCTGTGGAAATCTTATCTAATCACTTTACTTTTCTAGCCAATAATCTATACCGAATGTATGTATTTTAATTTTTATATAATTATTCATGAAAATTTTGCGCATATGTAAATTATATAAAAAAAAGAAGTTAATAGGCACCTATCTTTCTTTTTTGTAAGTTTAGAAAATTTGCCTATTAAATTGTTTGTTTTTTCTATAAAATTTAATTTTTAGGTATTACAGCTGGGTAAAGCGTTCTTACCGGGGTCATTATGACTATGGGGTACTATAAATATATTAAGCGGGTTGTCGGGAGTCCAATCCTTCCTGGAATTGTATTTAATGCTGAAGCCTTGTTTCCATACCCCTCCATCCTGATTTTCGAACGTCAGCGAATCATACAAATCCAGCATCTTAATATAATTTTTTTTTCAAAATGAGCTTCTTGTAAATTATATAAAAATCCCTAGGACCAACAAGCCCCCAGCCCGGATTGGGTTCAAAAAGGGTACGAAGGGGCAGGGGCACATTTGAACCAGGACAATTTGGTATCCTCCAGGTTTCCGTATAAAGGTTACATACATCTATAGGTTAACAAATCAGAGGCAATAACACTTCGAATAAAATTAAATTAAGCTATAATTACATACGTCAATATCAATGGCTGGATTATGAGTTGATGCCCTGATAACTGAACATTGATCGGCATTTCTTGGCTTTAATGTGTCAGAATCATTACGCTCAGTTTTAGTCACGAATTTGGAAGCTATGGCAACGGTAGAAATTTCGTCGAGTTCTTCGGTGATTGGATTGTCTAAAATTAGTATTTAGTAGAAAAGTGAGAAGGGTAAGAAATGAGATAATAAATATATTAAATTCCGTCAAATTTTTAAAATCTTGTAATAATAATAATGGCTCAATTTAAAAAACCAAATTTATATATAGTACACATATGCATGTAATTTTTTTTTTTATCTCAATAGAATGGATGTTAAAAAAAATAAGTTGAATATAAAAATTAGAAGTGCGCTCATACCATTTTTGTTGGGCCGATACTAATACAGTTACAAATTTTTAGTGTTTAAGTGTCTCGATTTTTTATTTAATAATGAATTAATGTTCGATCTAGCCGATATTTTTAAAAAACGACAAACTCAATATCTTAGCCAAAGCTCGTAGATGATAGAAATATTTCCATATGTTAAAAAATATGGCGACTTGGGGTATTATTATTTTAACTAAAAAATCTTAATTTAGCCGTTTATAAAAATTCGGCTAAAAGAGATCGAGTCGTTTAACAAACTTATCAGGGGAAGAAAAAAAATTAACACCATCTTTCTTTCTTTCTGTATGGATTAAAAAATTATTTTTCATAGCTGCAGACCATAATGAGGAATATTAACTATTATTGTTTGAGCAGAGTTTGAAATGCCTTCAAAACAGATGTTTTTCAGGATGCCCAAACCAACAGAATTCTTGCTCAAACTAGACCTAAAATTTATGCACAAACAAATCTTTCACGATTGAAATCACTTTATTTTATGATCTATGCTCAAAATTTTGGTGGAAAAAAAAATCTATGTTTTTATGAATATCAGTCACACTGGTATTAGTTAAAATTAGGATTGACCAATAAAAACAACTTTAATTAAAATGGCGATTTAAATCACCCCCTGATTCTTTTTAATAAAATTCTATTTAATAAATTTGATTAAATTTACCTAAGGTATGAAGGAAAACAAAGATTTAGATTATTCCACAATTAAATAATTTTTATATGAACAATATTACTAAATTGTACACTAGTAATTATTACTTATTAAACAAAAAAAAAATAAATTACTTAATATATTTTGATTTTTATTTATTATTTCATCTGAAAACATAATTCAATATAAAGGGTCAGATTGTAGTTATTTTTTTTTTTTAAACAGTTGAGCAAATATTTTAAAATCTGAAATTTATCACCGAATATTTTGATATAAATCTTAGGACCAGGGATGAGAACGCGCACCCACGACATTTCGTTGAACCAAAACCGAACCCTTTTTTAAAATTTAGAGTTCAGGGTCCAAATTTTATAATTTATTTATTTTAAATTATATGTAAATAATATAATATAAAATAAAAAACATGCAATTTTACGATTTTCATTAATAAAAGATTTCCTATTAAAAAAAATACATTTTTTTGTTTCGTGGAATCATTTTTGTTATATTTTAAAGAGTCAGCCATTTTTCGTTAAAAATTTTTAAATTTTTACCCAGCAAAGCAGATTTTAAAAAGTTTTTTTTTTATTATTATAAAGATGATAATATATAATGATAATAATATCTAATTTAGGATATTGTTTGTGAATTATTAAATTGATAGTAAAAAAAAAAGATGTACAAAATCAAGCAAGTGGTAAAATATTTTTATAAAAATTGTAAGTTGCAAATAAAAATGGTGGCCCATTTATTTATAAAGTAAAATTTAAGAAATCAATTATAATATTATTTCCTGGAATATATGAGAGATCTAAATTGTAATTGGAATAAGGCAAAATCTTATGTTTAAATAAATTTTATTTAAATTTAAATAAATTGTTTTTTAAAAAAAAAAAATTAAATTTGTAGATGAAAATCAAGGTTTTATTTATTAGCTGAACATTTCAAATTTAATGATAAGGGAATTTCTGAATTTAGAATGTGATTTAATATTAGCAGGGGAGTCATAATAGTAATTTACAGAATCATATAAAGAGGAATCACTCAAAGTATTTTGATGAGTATTTAGGTAAAAAAAAAGAAAATCATAGAAAATTTGACTAAAACCTCTATTACTAACAAATCTGATATAAAAAATATAATATTAATAAAATTGAAAGATATATTATTATACAAAAACATCTATTCATATTTCGATGTCAGAAGAAGATCTAACAAATGCTTTGGTCTAACCCTAACCTAGAAGTATTCTAGTAATAAATATTCAGTGAGTTTGAAATAATATTATCGTATTAAGAAATTTGGCTCTAAAAGAAATAACTACAGAAGATAATACTAAAAAAAAATGCTTTTAGAGACCCTGAATAAATTTGGCATTCCATTAAACAACCTATATATTACAACAACCAGGGTGAAAATTTAATCAAGTCTATAAGATTATTAAATGAATCTGTGAAAGGGGAGAATTGGGATGAAGATGATATAATAAATAAAGAAATAGCAGATCAGGGCCAGGTGTAGAAAGATTTAACTCCCGTTTTTAGCACTAGATGTACAGCACACACATTACAGTTAGCCATTAATGATTTTTTTTTAAAGTTATGCAAAATTGATTATTGACCAAGCAAGACAATTGGTAAAATTTTTAAGAACTTCAACGATCATTAAAATCTTGAAATCACTGAAAATGATTATTTAAAAAAAAATTTTTTTAAGGGTATAAATTTAAATTTTATTTCTAAAACTTTGCAAAATATTTTGCATGATTTGCCTGTCCCATAATTTTTTTGGCATACTGTCCCTGATATGTCCAAGAGCATAATAGGAAGTCTAAAATTTGGCCCAAATTTTGGTTACATAAATAGTTTAATACAGAACAACTAAAATAATATTTTAAAGAATTAGTAATAAATATTAAGTAATAAAACATATTAAAATTACTTATGCTATTTGATTTGTTTTAAATTTGAATGTTATTATATAAAATAAAATGAATTAAAGTAAAAAATTGACTTTATAAAAGATCAGTCAATTATTATAAATTATTTTAATTAATATTAAAATATTATTTTTTTAGCATCTATAACAGTTTTCAACAATAGGATAGTGAATAATAATATTATTAAAGAAATTATGCTTACCAAAAAATGCCTTTATTTTGTTAGTAGATATCTCTAAATTTGAATAGTTATCATTCATTGATAATCCTGGATGAAGATTTTTTATGATTTGGGAATTTTTTTCTATTTCATTTTGAATAATTTCTAAGGAATCAATAATCTTAATACTGGGAGCTTTCTATAAATAAAAATTAATTAAATATTAATAATATAAAATATGGTACCGGTAAAGATTGAATGATAAATAAATTATTATTTTTATATAATAATATTAGACTAGTTAAAAATACAAATGGTATGACATACAACAGTATTTTAATTATTCTACGATTTAATCTGAGTCTCATTTTTTAAATATTGACATATGACTTCATGAATGGAAAGTGTGCTCTTTTTCAATCTTGACCAACCAGGAATTAGTCAATAGAAAAAAATATTAATTAAATTGAAGAAATAAAGTAATATAAATAAATCCATGCCAATCTTTGCTTATATAATACATGATGCTGATTCCATATAATACATAAAGCACATTTTTATTTTTTTCATATGATATCCTCATTAATTATATATCTCACTACCTGAGACCAGGGGCGTCACTAGCTTTTATAATCTCAGGGGCTCAACTAAAAAATTTTATATGGAGGCTACGCCCCCATATCCCGTATTTGACGGGCCTACGCCCGTTTTTGCCTGGCCTTCGGTCTGGTTTTATAATATTATATCGTCGGTCTAGACTTGGAGTGTTCCACTCGACATTTTCAAAATTTTTGAGTTAGAAGTGGATACTAACTTAATTACACCCAATATATATAAAAATAAAAACTAGATTAAAAAATATTAAATTTTTGCCAAAGTTATTGTCTAAATTAATCAATAACTTTTTCCTATATTTTATTTTAAACTTTAATAATGATTTTCTCATTTTAAACATTCAAAAATTTGAGTTAGTAGTGGATAATAACTTATTTATTCCCAATATATTTATAAATAAAATCTAGATTAAAAATTATTAATTTTGGCCAGAATTATTGTCAAAATTGATCAATAACATTTTAGTATTTTAAAAATTTGCACAAGTTGAGCACTTCAATTCTAGACGGAGGATATTATAATTTTTTAATAAAAATTTCAAACTCTAATCAATTATTCTGAATTTCATACTTTGTCATTTATTATGCATACAAATAATGAAAGAAACAATACAAGATATTTCTAAAAATAAAATTTTTTTATCACAAAATATTTATCCATTTATTACAATATTAAATATTTTCTATTAAGGATATAAAAAAAATTTACTTCTCAAGAATTACAAGTGATAAAAAAAAGGTTAATTAATTAATTCATACATTGCATCAATTAATAATGGTTTTCAAAAACCATATAAGGCAATATATTTCTTAGCATAAACTAATATAAAGTTGTGTTCATTTTTAGATAATGTTGTATAGAATGGACTAATAAGAAAATATTTGTAGACCTAAACAAATAAATATTTCTTGAAGAAACGAATATAAACGACTAACTCAATTTATAATACTATAAGGTGGTCAGAGCTTTTTCTTACATGTTATTATGGAAACCAGATAAAAAATCAAGAAAATTGTTCTGGAATATTAAATTTCCAAAAGATTATCTTCCATTTTTAATGATATATAAACGACCAGACAGACCATTATTGCTCATCAAAATTATGCAATTAAATGCTCTCAGCAATAGGAGTAATAATCTTAAATTATAATAGTCACACAAATAATAGATGTAGGTTAATTTACAGTCATAGCCATGACACTCACGGTGTAATTCATATCAGAACCTATTATGATAAATTATTAAAACAAAAAATCTTTAAAGGAAATAATTATACAAATATATTGAAGCCTTGAGTTATTTACACGGTAAGGATGCCTTATTAGAAATGAATAATATAGTAACTAGAAAATAAGGACCAGAATAAGATGAAAGCAAATAAGATTTTATATATTATTGTCGCACCATCTCTAGTTAGTATAAATAATATTAGTTTGTAATAATATCAAAATGTTAAGGTATTATTAAAAATTTAACTCAAAAAATGTTTTTCAAAGAAGAAAAAAATAGCTTTCCTAAAAGCACGTAAAAAAGGAGAAAGTAAAAAAGATATCTAATGGAATTACATTCATTGTGAGATAAATAATAAAATGTTTAATTATTTTTTTTTAAGTTAAAGAATTGAATGCAAATTACTTATATTTATTATAAAAAGCATTGATTAGTATGGTTTATTATAATAACTGTAATATATTCTATATCTTTCAAATATGTCTATAAAAGTGACACTAATATTTTGTAGCCAATTTATATAATAGAGGATTAAAGAAATTTCTTATACTTGTTTGAACCTTGGAAATATTTTTAGGAAAAGGCATGGTAATTAAATTTAATAATGGATTAGTGATTTTGAACTCAGCTAATCACAATATTAAATTTGTTAATTTAGTTAATTATTTATTTATTTAGGGTTATAAAATAATTTAAATAATAAAAATCAATTACGCTTTAACTGTTAATGCTAAATTGATATATAGAGATTATGATTGATATTCCATTTAACACAGAATTTGATTGTGCAAGCTTACATAGTAAAAATATAATTTATATGTATTAATCTATTCTAATAATTAAAATAGTACTCATTTAATGTAAATTTAGATAGTCTTATTAATTTTTAAATAATAATATTATCTATATATTACTTAATTGAATTATAATAAAAATCGTTCAGGGAGCAATCAAAAAAAGATTATTTTTAGATCAGGAGGATATTAGGGAGCTAAAAAAAATTTGTTTATTTTTCATTTCGATTTGCATGTGTGTGCGAATGTTTAATTTTTGGCCAGGCAATACCTGTCTATTCATTAAATGTTTTTTATATGTATATTATATAAAATTTCTAGGTATACTAAAAATTAGCTAAGATACATATTATAAATATACACATTTTCACCAATTTGTAGACTTGGTTGAATAGATAAGAAGTTAAATGGTGATGGCCTGTCTTAAAACACCATTTATCCCACATCTCCTTTAATTTTATGACCTTTTTTTTAAAATATAATACAGTTAGTTTATAGATTTTTTTTCCCCAGATTCTTACAATATTTTTTTTGATAAAACAACCATTTAAAAATAAAATTTTAATAATTTTTTTTTCCATAACATTATATACATTTATGAGATTAGTTTTGCTCAACTATCTTTACGAGAATGAAGAATAAATTTACAAATTATTTTATTGGGGTTTCATTAACCATGGGATATACTATATAATCTCTTAAAGAATGATTAAACTCCTGATAAAAAAAAATTAGAAATTTTGAAAAATATATATCAACCGGATATAACTTTCCCATTTATTAGGGACACTACAACAAAAAAAACTAAGTTTCCTATATGATCGGTTATCAAGGTGGCCATGGCTAGCATTTTCTCCCACCATTAATGGTGCATTCTGCAATAATTCCGTTTTATTTGGTCCAAAATTTGCTAGAAGAGTCCAGCAAAAATTACAAAGCTTAGAATTAACAGCATTTACTAAATGAAAAAAAAACGCTACTAAAATAAAATCCTCCGCCCCCCCTCCCTTCATAGGAAAATCCTGGATTCGGCACTGAAATAATTTATCTAAATTTGGGGAATATTTCTGTTATGAATAATTGGGATGATATTAAATTAATTTTTAGGAAATTGATGACTTAGTAAAAATAGAATATTATAGGAAATAATAGTGTGAAAACATGGATACTGATGATGTTGTGTCCTGGTATTGTTAAAAACCCATGATAGATTGATGGAATTACACCTTAAATATCTTATAATTCAAACAAAGGCTTAGATAGCCAAAAAAAATTTCCCCAATAAGGGCGCTTAAGAGTAACATTTAGAAGGCATTTATTCGTATTTTTCGCATTGCTAAATATCAGAGTTGTTAAAAGATAATTTTTAAATGGATCTAGATACAGACACATCGTCTAAAAAAATATCTAGATACTGATATTTTAATCAAAAATCTATCTAGATACATATACAGATACCATATTTTTATATCTAGATACAGGATCTAGATACTTGTATCTAGATCTTTTAACAACTCTGCTAAATATTATTCCAGAAAATTCTCAGAATATATAAAATTTAATTTCACGACATGATTTTGGCTTAATTCTATCTTAAAAAAATTAACTCAACCTTTATTATATTATGGCAAAAATTGCTCGACTTATGAAATGAGGTAGTTCCTTTTTTTAATCAAAGATAACTCGCGGACAGCATCGAATTAGGTAAAAGAACACTTTTAAGTATTCTGTCCTTTATCATGCTACATTAAGACTAAAATTTAATTTCCTGTCACCCGTGCCATAAAAATCTAGGAGAGAATAATTAACAACTTGTTATCTCGAATTATATTAGTATTAATAGATTTTATTATATTATATAATTATTTTTCTTTAAAATATGTATATTTTAGACCTACGTGTTAAGTATTACCGTAAAATTAGGAAATTAGGATTAATATCTTTATAAAAAAAGACACATATAAAATTGACAATGTTTTGAAAATATACATAAATAATAAATACCCCATATTTATATAATGCAGCGAAAAAAAATAAATATATATATAAATAGCATTGTATAATAAATATAATTACATATTTTTAATATATAAAAATTTGGGGTTTTTTATAAAGGGTTTAAATTATAAAAGTTTGTTTAATCAAGATATTTATACAATATTATGCCTAATACATTTGATAAATTGATTACATGGTTTGCCTATATTATGCTTTATGCAACAAAAAAATTATACTTGATAATCATTAATTTTTTATTTATGGCTAAATGAATAATTAATTGAGCAAATATTGAATTGAGATTATGATTTTACGAATAAAATAAAAAGGCCAAAAAAAAAATTTAATTTATTTACCAGGAAATAATATATTAGTTGGAGTGCAGAAACTAGGAAAATAGAGAATACTTGTGAGTGATGATGCCATTGATACAACTTGAAAAAAGTTTGCGTTCTGAGACGCAAAAATGTTTATGTCGATTACTTGAATAAAATAATATAGTAATTAAGAAATATATAATATTATCGAGAAAAGTATTTATTTATTAGGGAAAATTTTTTTTTTATTGTATTGATATCACACTCAAATTAAAATTAGGGTCGATACCAGGGGGCTAGTTAGCACGAAATTTTTGTCTAAATCATTATAGGTTCAGGTTTGAATTTACAAAATAGCCATAAGAAAGCCCAAAATATCTAATCTAACCTTGTATACATTGAACAAATTTTTTTAAACTTTAAGGTTCTAATCTAAAATACATTGTTATATTTAATAAAAAATTTATTTTTTTTCATCATTAAGAATATCAATTTTTTTATTATTAAAATTAAATTTTAATAAAAAGGAAATAAATTTTAAATATTATCATTTTTTTTACAATTTATATTATAAGTAAGTATATCTATTGTGCTGGAAGTAGAAAGGTGATTAGAACGAATGGGTTAAATTTAAGTGAACTATTGGGGAATAAAAAATTATTTAAAAAATATAGCGTTTTACGGGTCAGATAAGAGTTATTTAATGGGTGGGTGGATTGTATTAACAAACATCAACACCTGGCATAGAATCTTGCTCTATGTCGACATTTAAACGCTATTATTAAATTAATTATAAATGTAAACTAGGGGAGAGCGGGGCTAAGTCAGCCCAAGGGGCTTATCGGTTCAGCGGATTTTATTTAAAAAGCCAGACATGTTTAGAAATTCATATTTAATATGTGTTTTTGAGGCTAAAAATAAGTAAATACCCCCCTAAGTTATTTTAATTTTTTATATGAAAAATTGTGTTATTTTTGGCAAAAAAAAAAAATCAAAAATGTTTATTTTTTATATTAAAAATTATAGACATTTTTTGATAAATCAAAAATAATGTCAAATTATGTCATTTAATGGTATATTTATATCAATAAAACATTTGTCCACGAAAGTAATGGTCTTATGTGAGACTTGATAATTATAATTGAGTCTATAAGCCCCGGGTTTAGGGCTTGTTGGCGCAAATAACTACTTTTTACTCTTTTACTAGGAATCAATCTTGATTTATTTTTATACTTTTTTAAAAAAAAATATTAACTGTTACATGTATGTAAATCTTTCAATTTAAAGTCTTTTTATTTATTATTGTCTTAAGTTAAATGATTTATTGTTTAAGGCAATAATTATGTTATATTTGGATTTGTTTATTATATTATAAATAATATTTTTAATTTCATTTTATAATAATAATAGTATTTATTTTATGAATCATGGTTTAAAGACTTTCCGTTAATTGGATACGTTATAATGAAATTCATATATATTTATCATCAATCAATGCTACCTACTTCTAAGTCCTTATATTATCAAGCACTACTACCGACTAGTGTTAAACTTAAAAACCCGCTAACTCATTATTTTACCTAGAATAGTATAACGCCAACCTGAAGATTTTGCTTGTAGAAGGAACAAAGGTTTTTAGACATCTATTAGCGAAATCTCGGAGCTTAGGGCATAATTTTTCTGGCTAAAATATTGAGTTAGCCGTTTAACATAGAGAAACTTTTAATTTATTTGTAAATAATTATATGTAAAATTTTTGTACACATTAATTTTTGATTCCCATAATTACTAACCGACTACTAGCTATTTTTTTTTTTTTTTTTTACTAAAGATAATGTTTTAAACAAATATAGAAATTAAATACTGCAACACAAACTTACGATTCGATTTCATGAGAGCAGCTATCGGACCAGGATCTACGCTGGACTTTTGAGAAATAAAAATCAGAACCTTCTTCTTAGTATTCGTGCCCCCCTTTTTTAACATTTGATTCGCGAGTGCTAAAGCGCCCGCTACGTTGACACTGTGCACTGCGGAAAAAAACAAAAACGTTAAATTTTTCATTTTAAGATGTATATATATATTTACTCTTACTAAAAAAAAAATTTGTTTTATAACTATCATTTAAAATATTTAAGTTTTAACCTCTAGGGTTATAAATGGCTGTAGGTGAAAGAACCGAAATTATCTGAGCGTAGGTGATGGCCTGTCTCATTTTTAACGTGATCACGTAGGATTTACCGTAAGTCACGATCCCAATAGTGGAGCCATTTTTACCCAAAGGGTTATTAAAATCCCTGAAAAAGGTGGCGCTCTGTTTATTTTGTCGTTGTTGCAAACAAACAAACAAAACAAAAATATATTATCATATATTTTGATCTAAAATTCTTAACGGTGTATATCGGAGACCTGCAGAGATTGCTCGGCCATTGTCCGGATTTTTTTTTAAAAAAATTTACAAGCCCGACCCGGCCCGGCCCGGGTATATTTAAAAAATTGAAATGCGACCCGGACCGGGTTTAGTGCCCGGGCCTGCAGGTATCCGGCATATATATATCAATCTCTTTCTCATTCATTTAATTTGATAAAGTATACAATCTAAGGTTTTAATTAAGATGAATTTGTTGTAAAGGTCTTAATTAACTTAATTTATTTCAAAGATTTTATAGAAATAAAAAATAACTTGGCTTTCTTAACGTTAGTTAAAAGCCTGTTGCAAATAGTGTTGTTTAAATTTTATATATATATATATATATAATAAAACTTGTGAAATATTCATCTCAATTTTGATAGCTGACACTCAAACTTATAATTTTTTAAGTCGAAGGTTAAGTGATTTTGACAACACTAGTGACCGAACCTCCTATTTTTTTTCACTCTTCTTTTAAGCCCCAAATACGATGTCTCGTTTTCATTCGATTTTATTTTTCTTTCTCCCAATTTATTTGTTAAATTTTTTTTAAAAAATAAAATATAAAAAAATTTAAAATTAATTTAACCCCGAAACTTACACCACCATTTTTTATTTTATTTTAATTCAATCATACATTTTTAAAAACCTTTCCTTTCCTTTCCTTTCCTTTCCTTTCCTTTCCTTTCCTTTCCTTTCCTTTCCTTTCCTTTCCTTTCCTTTCCTTTCCTTTCCTTTCCTTCCTTTCCTTTCCTTTCCTTTCCTTTCCTTTCCTTTCCTTTCCTTTCCTTTCCTTTCTTTCCTTTCCTTTCCTTTCAGAAAGAAAGAAAGAAAGAAAGAAAGAAAGAAAGAAAGAAAGAAAGAAAGAAAGAAAGAAAGAAAGAAAGAAAGAAAGAAAGAAAGAAAGAAAGAAAGAAAGAAAGAAAGAAATTTTTCGATTTCCCCTATAACTTTCCAATCGAGGCTATTAACTTCCATATAAAGATGATCTTAATAATGCAGAAATATTACAACTTCAAAAGCGCAAGTTCTTTACAACATTTTATGGGTCCTGTCGTAACACAGAACTCTTATCTTTATTTTTTAAACCGGAAGGCTAATAAATTTTCTGAATGCAAATCATTTCAAATTTTTAGAAAACGTAACCATACGCTAATTCGTGTTGTTAAACAGCGAACTCAGCATTATAGCCAGAAAATTTTTTTTACCAGCATCGATAATTTCGGCAATAGATGTTCAATCCTATGTGCCATCTAGAACCAAAATATATAGGCTTGCATCATATTTTTCTGGATAAGAAATCGAGTTGGCCCCTTTTTAAGAAATCAGCTTTAAATTGTTAAACAAACACTAGCTCTGTAGAAGAAAATCTTAGTATTATAATAACATTCGATAATAAATTTAAGTTCGATAGTTGGATATATACATATAATATATGATAAGGCAATTTTAATATAAAATATATTGAATTTAAAGATAAACCACATCAGAAATTCTTTGCTCCTAAACATTTGATACATCAAATAAAATAGAGGGTATTTAGAAAGTTACCAACAATTTTTCGAAAAAAAAAACGTTTACTCATATACTACATTCGAATACCGATTTCAATGCCTATAACTTAGTCGAATAAAATATTCGGCTTTAGAAGCGTCAATCAAATGATTAAACACACTTCAAAATCTAATGCCTGTCAAAAATATTTATGGAATATGTAACATAAAATTAAAATTTATCTTTTCAAAAATATATAATAATAAATTGATTTTTTTTTTTGGATTTTATGCCTACTTGTTTAAATGAATCTGGCAACTGTTAGAGTTCTTGTAATTAAATACGCCAATTACTTCTCACCTATTCTCGGGCGACGATATATAAATTTAATTTTTCAAAAAATTTTTTAATTATTTACCAATATCATGGACAGAGCGCAATCGTATTCGAGTGAAGAAGTGTAAGTATCTTCTATTAGAAGCACCAAGTCGGTTGAATTCGGTAGAGGTCCAAACATACCAAAAAAGACGCCGAAGTCAAATGCGGGAACTATACGTTTATAAAATAAAGTAATATGGTGGGAAAGATTTTTCGATCAGTTAAAACCAATGTTTTTTTGGGGGGATATTTTTACAATTTTGTCTATAGTTATTTGTTAACGGTTCGGTTTGAGCCGATTTTTCAAAACCGGCCAACTCAATATTTTTATCCTGGAAATAATATTACGCAAAATGTCTAGACATCAATTAAGAGAAATACTCAAGGTTTAGACAATATTCTTCTAATTAAAATATCGAATTAGCCGTTTTTAAAAATCGGTTTGAAACGGGCCGTTTAAGCAACACTATTCGTTATTCGTAATCATTAATATTATGAAACCTTTTCCAATTTTCTATTTTATTTATGGATGTTAAGGCTTTTCAATGTGTATTTTTTTTTCTCCAGAAAATGTGTTATTTTTGTTTGTTTTCAAACTTTAATACATTCGAGACACGTTTTATCTGAAATGTATGTATTCCATCATGTTTTGGAATATCTAACCCTATACTATAAAATGTCAAACAAAGTCGCTATGTAAATGACTAAAAGATTTGACGGGGAAAAATTATCTACGCAATTTATTATTTATATTGAAAATATAAATAATAAATTAAACATTATATTTTTTAAATTTCGCACTTTGAAGACGGTTAAATAATTTTAACTGAAGGGATGGTTTAAGATTATTTTGTAGACGAAGGAAAAGAGTGTCCGAATTATATTTATTAATTTAAATACAAAGAAGAAGAAAGAATGAATTTGTCAAAGTTCCAGGACAATACCAAAAATGGCTAAAAACCCAGCAATATAGGAAGCATAAGTAGTAAATTTTCCAATCGTTAACGACATGTATAGCATAACAGAAGCTAGAGTGAAATGGTTTAGGAGATTTCAATTTTTCACGATAACTAATAAACTATATTGAGGTTCACTGTTGATAATCTTATTGTTAGAATTTATAAATTTTTGATGAATTTATTATTACGATAATTGAAGAAGGTTAAAAAGAAGTAAATTTCTTTAAAAAAATTTTCTATATCTTTGTAAATGTTTAATTATGGGATTAAATCGTATTTTATACCTTATAAGGTGGGCTTATTAATAATATGTGAATTCAAAATTTTAATTTAGCTTACAGCCTGCTTGAATCGATGGCAAACATCCTATCATAGCTGAGATAAGTACCAGAACACGTATGGAAATCATTCTCATAGTTTTAATGTTTAGGCTTTATTCTGAAATAAAAATAATAATATTGAAGCTTTAAATGATTTTGAAGGAATTAGAAAAAGGATATAAATTCTATTTAACGAATTCTCATATTTTTGATAACTTATGCCTTTATTTTATAAAAAAAAAAAAATTGGGGTTTATATTAAAGATCTGCAAACCGGCCCGTACTCAGCCCGGGCCTATATTTAAAAAATTTCGGGTTCGGTTAGAACCGGCCAAATACTTTTAAAAAATTTCGAACCGGGCCGGGTTTGAAAAATTAGGCCCGATGCAGATCACTAAATGCCATACTCTGAATTATAGGCGTAGCAAGGATTTTGCTAAGTGGAAGGGGGGGGGGGGTGCTGGAAGCATTATTAGATTGGTCATTTCTCACATATGATTTTATTGGAAACTATTTAAGTTCACATATTGCACGCCTTTGGTTATATTTGTTTATAAAATAAAAAAAAATATCTTGTTTCCATAAATGTTAAATCCCTTACTTCTAATTAAATGTTAAATGTAAAAAAAAAAATATAATTCCATGATTAAAAATATATATTATTTATTAGAATAGAACAATGTAAAAAAAAATCTTAAATATCTTAAATTGCAATGATAAAATATTAGGATTACCTTTCCTTAAAACGTTCAAATTTAAGCTAGAAAATAAATTTTTTAATTATTATTTAAAAAAATTTATGCTTATTTTTTGAAAATAAAGTGATAAAATTATTTATCACCTTAAAAATAAAAATTATACAAAATTTGGAATAAAAAACATAGTTTTTGTTCCAAAAAAACAGATAGCTATAGTAATATACGTATCACGTTTTTTTTTAACCTGTTACGAGAAATTTTATTATTTTCTAAATAATTTTATTAATTTATTCATAAATTCTTTTAAAATTTCGTTGAATTAACGGGAAGTTTTATTTAGCTACTATAACATCAATTTATCAATTTTTCTAAATAAAATTTAATGATCCAAAATTTTCATTTTTTTTTATCATAATTAATAAATATTAAATAATCTACAAATTAGAAATACGAATACAGATAATTAATCATTGGTTGTAAGGAAATCTAAATTATCGTGGTAAGCGGTTCGGTTGAGGTTTGGTTAAGGGTTTAGCGGCGATTTTTTATAGGTTACGATTCGGGTAAATTAGATACTATAAGACCGTGTTGTGGTTCAGCACATTTTCGATGCTTATTTCTGCTTAGTTCTATATGCTAAAATAGCTTTTGTGTTTTGGGTATAGCAATTGTTATTTCTTCTGTATTTTCTTTCTCCAATATAAAATGTTTGCACTATCCAAAAAAAAAATCTCCTTAGCCCACCATTCTTTTAACTTTATCATATATGCATCCATCAAGAAATTCATTATTCTATATCATTTCTATTAACCCTGAGTTCACTTATATTATTATCTTGAAATAGTGCCAGAGCATGGCAAATAATTTAATTATGCAACTTGATTCCTTATGAATTCGGTTATACTATATGCCGTATCTTGACGTGTGACCTTTCTTCCTATCTTTTAATTGAGCGACGAAATAACTTTATAATCGCGTGATTGACTCGAGCCTACTAGCGGCCCGATAGCTATTCACTATAGCATCTTCCGACCCCTCTGTCTGTTATGGCCAGCGGCCCGAATTTAAGAAGGAAAAAATGAAGGTTTAATAAGGAAGAAAAATCTAAAAACTTAAAATATAATCATTTCTTTTATTCCCTATATACGATTATTTCTAAAATTCATCAATCAGCAAATTCTTCTTTCCACCGCCAGTCGAAATGACAGGTCAGCCCTACAAGTCTTTAATATACAGCATGGAATCATAGTTTGAAAACGGCTTACTCGATATTTTACCCAGAATAATATGGCGCAAGTCCTGAATATTTTGTTTGTAGAAGGAACGAAGGTTCTGAAGCTTAGGCAATATTTCTGGCTAAAAATATTGAGATCAGTTTAACAACACTCATAACAATAAGAATAGTGCATCATTTTTAAGAAGAAAAATGAGGTGCACCTATCACTTTTATAACGAATTTCAACCAGACAAGGTCTCCCACATGTCAAACTAAATAGCATTAAAAATTTCCAATTTTCTGCCGACCTTAGGGCTCATCATATACGTTCTAGATATATTTTTTTAAAAAAAACTAAATTATAGTTCTGGTGGGGGGGGCAATTATTATTCGAGATAATTGGGGAGTTTAAAATACAAAACTTCTGCGCCGACTCTTTGTCTCCAACCCATAAATAACCGAGGTATAAATAAGGAGGAAGGTACATATGGTGGTAATATCATTCATCACGAGTAGTAATTTGAGGAACACAATGCTATGCTGACTCCTTTTTAAAATGATTAGTTATTAATTATTTAAAAAATGCCAAAATCAAATCTGTATATTAAATTTTATATTTTATAAACTTAATAAGCACGTGAGGGTTAAAAAAAAAAACTAAGTGGAAATTTTAAAATTAATTTTTCCAGTTTTTAAAGTAATTATTTCCTGCATCGTTTACTATTATGTAAGCTCCTTTAAGTGATTATCTCCAATTGCGTAATTTCCTCATAAAAATATGTTTGTTGAATTCATTTTTAAATAGACGTAATAATAGATGACGTTATTTTATATATAAACATTACTTATACAATAAAAGGATATTTTTTTTTTTTTACAATGGTTCTATTTTTAAATTAAAACAAAATTGGCAAATCTACTTTAAAACAAAGTTTTTAACTGCTTAGTATTTTTATTTTTTTTTTACTAATTAAATCAATTTTTTGAAATATCAAATCTTTTTTTGGCTCGGAAATTACAAATACTTTGAAATCAAGAAAATGAATAATTTTATTTATGATTTTCTAAGAATTCGGTATCATTTTATCACCCGTGGGAGGAGAACATGCAGGGGGTCGAGCCCCCTAAAAAATACGAAGTGACCCCTGAAAATTTTGAATCTTTTTTATATACCCACTTTCTTTCTTTCTTTCTTTCTTTCTTTCTTTCTTTCTTTCTTTCTTTCTTTCTTTCTTTCTTTCTTTCTTTCTTTCTTTCTTTCTTTCTTTCTTTCTTTCTTTCTTTCTTTCTTTCTTTCTTTCTTTCTTTCTTACTATAAAGAGCTAGTAATTCCCTTAGATGTAAGTATGAGGGGGAGAACTTGTAGCATGCAGTACATACACCGCTAGAAATTTTTTAAAAAAAGGTTAGGCGTTCCAACAAAATAAAAAAAATTAATCTTTATAATGGTATCTTTGCATATTATTAATATTTTAATAATCATGAAATAAAACATAAAATATTTTATGAACAAAATAGTAGTATATTAATGTAATTGTATACATTTCTTAATTCAAAATCTAAACCTTTCTCTATTATTTTGATTGTTTCTTAAAAGAACAATATCCGATAGGAATAGAGAATGCCGTTGTATCCGTTTTGGCTAGCCGTTTACTATCTGTGGCTTTCGACTTCCCCGCAAGGACTGCGTATTTCAAGTGAAATGTTGCATTTTAACAATTGTCAAGAGTGAACACATCAACTACGATGTTTTGCGAAAAATATTTAGGAAGCAAGAAACGCACACAAAGCTGCTGAAGAGGCAATGAAACCAAACAGGGAAAAAAAAATCTGCCCAAGAATTGCATTGGAATTAGCTAATCACATTGACAAACAGGACCAAGATGATATCTAATATTTGTAGATTTGGATTTGTTAATTGATTATTTTTTTTTACACGGACTTGAAGGCCGGAGACACCCCGTGAGCTATTTTGGTTAACCTAACTTCCCATAGCTAGCTTTTAATTGTTATTTAAAGTATCGTTGTCACACAGTTAAACAAAAGGTAAAAGTATATAATAAATCGATAATAAATAGTATAATGTAAATCGCGTGGCAAGATATAAAATGGTAATATGAATGACGAGGGCCCGAAAAAATTTGAGGGGACCAAGATGATAACATTCGCAATCATTTATTTAAAGAATTTTAGGGTAAAATTGACTCGAATGAACGTCGTTATAATATATCAATAATGAAAGATTATACTTTTAAATTTCTACATTTTTTGTTAATACTGTGCATGATATATATATACATGTCGTATGGGGATTCAGAATCTCTTGATTTTAAAGCTACCGAGGGCGATTTAAAAAATTTTAAAATCCCATTTAACCGGAAATGGATTCGAGCATGTGTAGAGTATTTACCCTATGAATTTCAGCCAATTTTGCCATGAACTTTAGAACTACTTCCAATTTATATTAATTTTTATATGGATTTTTTTTATATAAATTAAAAAAAAAATACTAAAATGTCTATGGCTGAAATTGGCTGAAATTTATAGGGTAAATACTCTACACATGCTCGAATCCATTTCCGGTTATATCGGATTTTAAAATTTTTTAAATCACTCTTGGTAAAGGATTTAAAATCAGGAGATTCCGAATCCCCACAAATTCCGAATTTCTATACGACACACACACACACATATATATATATATACATATGCGGGACTTTCTTACTTGGGGTTCATTCTTGACGTCTGATCCCAAAATTAATTTTTAGGGTCCGATTAAAACAACTAAATTATAATGCAAATTACATATTTAATAAATTAATGCGTAGATATAAAAGGCCAACTGTATTAAATAGACAATGGTAAGTACAATATTGATAACAATATAAATTAGCCGACAGGCCTATTGAGGTGCGGGTGGTGTGTAGAGTGAGTGGGGGACATTTCGTATGTGGGGACGGGCCTGTAGGGTTAAGTAGTATGCTAAAGGTTTAATCTTTATTTGTGTTCAAGATTTCCAATGACTGTGGGATCGAAGTTTGCTATCATCTGGTCAATTGCTCTCGTGGGTCGCCTAAATCGAGTGGGGTTGGTTGGTCAGTCATGTTGTTCTCAACTGACGGTTACGATGGATGCAATTTTTCCGAAGGGTATGAACTGTTAAAGACATGTTTTATTTTATCGAAGATAAGGGAGAATTCTGCCATAGGTCCATGTAGAGATTTAATACATCGTTGTAGATGATGTCATTAAGCTGGAAGGCGTAGGCCTTCATTAGAGCGGTTATGGTGACGACCTTTTTGAAGTAGGCTTGGAGGTGGTCAATCGTGTTAATCTCGAACAGGTAAATCATCGTGCTGTAAGGAGCAAAAACTCTGGATAATCCGGTATGAAATACATAATGGTTAAGAATCCTCAGTACCTTTAGGGCGATGCTCCTTTGGATTTGCATGCTTTAAGGCATGTTTTTGTACAGAATTAAAGAACCTTAGCCTTGGTTTGTTTTCTTTGTCAATTGCCTCTGATTTAGCTAGAAAATTGATGTCGATTCTTTGGTAAATGCCAACCTTGCTGATCCCTTATATAAAATAGTGAATAAAGATAAATGGGCGATGCCGGACATGAAAAATGTTTTGACCAATTGAAATTGCTCATCAGACAATTGCCGACAAGCTTCTTCGACCTTCGACTCCTAACTACCGATTGGCATTGCGACAGATGCATCCAAGCAAGGATTAGGAGTGGTACTGTTATACATAGAAGGAGACGGTAAGGAAAGACCCATAGCTTTTGCCTCGAGGTTATTAATAAAGACTGAGGTCAATTACGCTAATATAGAGCGATAAGCATTGGCAATAATCTTAGCCATCAGGAGATTCCAAGAAAACATCATCGGGACTAAATTTAATATTCTAACGGCCCACAAACCGCCGATTTATATCTAAGCTAAAGTGGATGAATGACATTAGAAAAGACGAAGTTATCAACAATAAAATTTATAGATTTAGAACGGATTGAACATAGCTAAAAATTCCCCTGATAACGAATCTGAGCTACTCATACCGTCTAAAATGAGAAAATTAATGTTGCAGGAATTACATAGAGGTCATTTGGGAGCACAAAAAACAAAACTGCCTACCAAAGATTACATGGGGTGGCTCGGTATCAATACAAACATAGATAAGGGGATAAAAAATTGCGAACCATGCAAGGTTTGGACTGGCAATCCAAAAACATGGGTTACTATTAAGAAGCTCTTGCAGGGCCATTTCTTCATACTCATTTGTGATAGTGGATGATTACAGCAAGTACCATAATAAAGTCGATAGTCGATAAACTTATCACCGGTGAAAAGACTGTCATCGGATTAATTTGGGACCGAAGATTGTGATCGATAATGGCACTAACTTCACCATTAAGTAATCCGGTAAGTTTTGCAATGATCTTTAGATTAAGCACACTATAACATCAGTATACCACCAGCAGTCGAATGGACAGGCAGAGAGAATGATAAGAATGTTTAAGACACACATGAGAAGAAGCCTGAGGAACAATAAAATCGATGTGAACATTTCCCTGGAAAGGTTTTTGTTCAATTATAGAAACAAGCCCAACGCTACAACGGGTATTCTGCCAAGCAAACTCTCCCTTACGCGACGAGAATCAAATGGAACCTGTTGAAGCCACAAGATGCGTTCGTTGACAAGAGAGGAAAAAAGTATTGCTCAGTAGTACCATAATGGTGATAAAGTCAGGTTCAGAACATTCAAATAAAATAGATGGGCCAGAGGTATCGTAACAGAGAAAGTTGAGAGTCTCTAATAGCTGCATCGTAAGAAAAATCTGGACCATATTAAGTGTAGATCTTCAGACAAAAATATAATATTCAAACCAACTCAATCATACGAGGGTTAGTAAATCTACAGGTGCAAAATACTAACGAGTTAACGCAGAAACCTACACCTAGCAGGGTCAAGAGATTGCCCAAACATATTCGTGACTGCGTTATGCACATATGCGATGCTGAGTATTGGCATCACCTCGAGATGTATCTGAGAAAAGACACCTTTAACAGTCGATTCTTAACACGTCTAAGGAGAACCTAGGGAGGATTTTCTTATAGGGTGAAATGTTAAGAGAGTCGATTTATTTTATTTTGCCTTTGAGATATAGTTCGCGAATGTTTAAAAATTTGTTATTTTTTTGAACTAAAACTTCCTAGCGTAGCTCTGTTGAAACTTCAACGCCAGAGGGCAAAAGCGCTATATATCACGTATCAAAGTTAAATGGGGGTTTGTTTTTTTTGATTAACTTGAAAATGAAACTCAAAACAGTACATATACTGTAAGATATACGATTATTTGATGTTGAAATAGGTAGCCTTATTTATCTGTAGAAGATTTCAATTTATACTACTATTCAAAATAAAAGATTCTACACACACTTAATTAAAGTTTTAAAAACAAAATCATAATCATAATCTGTTTTTCGTTACTAAACACACTCTTCCCAAATAACGGAAATGCCTGTTTGCATCAGAAGTACCTACAACTATTAATGGAAACTCCTACCACATTATTTATAAGTGTAATCCCACATGGAGCTTAGTTGAAACTTGACAGACTGGCTGGGATTGAGGAATCGTTTTGTAGAGATACATATTTAAAAAAATTAAATTCAACTTTGTCATCATGTATTTCAAAATTTGCTAATAAAAGCAGCATACTCGGAAATTGGTATTAATGATTTTTAGGCAACCCATTCTTCCATTTCCCCCAAATCTATAATTGAAGACCCATATTTTTCTGTCTTTCATAATAGTTTTAGAGACCCATTTTAAATAAAGTTTATATTTCTAATTTTTTACATCGCTTAGGAATTTTGAGAATTTGAAATGTGTAATAAATGTTACGTTATCATATAAAGAATATAAATTTTTAAACTAAATTGCATCTAATATAACTAGTGTAAGAAATTAAACTCCCCAAGTAAAAAAAAAAAAACTTGAAAATTATTAATTATCATTTACCAGTAATACGTTAAGTTTTTTTAAATTGTCGACAATCTTGTATTCCATAATTTTAAACTTAAAGAAAGCAACAAAATTTATTAAAACTAATAAATATTCGAATCCAATAGTGATCATAAGTTTATATTTATGAATTTATTTCTACAGTAATAAATATTCGTTGAAATTAAGCGATTACAAAGGGAAATCATAGAATTTATAATTAAAAAAAATAAATAATAGATGGTTGTAAATATGCTTGGCTTTTTTTTTAACGTTTATTGAAGAAAAAAATAATATTGTTATAATAGTCCTATTTCTAATGTTTGCTCACTAAATAATCAGTTCTCTAAGAAATTTTGTAAAAAAAATATAATTTGTATAAAATAGACTTAACGGCAATATCCTATGATCCTTTAAAAAAAATCACCTTAAATTGATTTAGACAAAATTATATTTGGTTGTTTAAAATAAACATATTTCAAAGATTAATACAATTATAATGTTATATATTAAAAAATACATAATATCACTAAATATAAATTACGTTAAACGGCTCGTTTTGAAGCGATTTTTAGGAACGGCTAACTCAAAATTTTAGCCAGAAAAATATTGCCTATGCTGCTTCTAGATTCCGTTGATAGATGTCCAAACCTTCGTTCCTTCTACAAACAAAATCTCCAGGCATTGCGTAATATTATCCTGAATGGTTAAGTCGTCTTTAAAAATCGGCTCAAAACCAGCTGTTTAGCAACACTAATATAAATACTTGATATGATGATGGCGAATTATATTAGAAATTCAGTAAAAATATTAATGGAAAATTGATTCTCGCAAAAAAAAATACAATTTAAAAAAAAATTTTAACCGGCGAACCTAAAATCAGTTTTTACGGCACCGGCCCTTATCATCTTCCCGCATAAATTGATCATGCCATTAACCGCTCCGGACTTTTTAGCCGAAATCAACATTTCCAATAATGTTCTCAGATCTTCCCTAGAATATAAACAGTCAGCATTATTTCTCCCCACTATAAAGCCACGCTTGTTAAGCTCTACTAGTGAATGCCGTTGTTCTGAGTGTTTACTAGGATCATCTTCTAGGTAAAGTTCTTCTTTTAAATGATTGGGCATCAGATTCTCGACTATATCTGAAGTATCATACTTACCATTTAGCTTGTGTCGCTTTAGCAATGTATCTTCTGGGATTTCGTAATCATCATTGTCATTATTACCATATTGGAAATAAATATTTTTATCTTCGTTATAATCAAAGCGAGGTTTGTAGTAAGTCACGTGTTCCCGATTTCTCAACGAATTGCGCCTGTTTCTTTTAGAAGTGCTTCTTCTTGTGTCGGAATTGGTATTGAAAAACATATTTTGATTCGAGTTCTTTAAACGATTTGTTATGTATTCCTTGTGTTTATCCAATTTATTGCTAGTTTTGCTTGAATCACTCTCTGATATTCCCTCTTTGTTATGAGCATAGAAAAAAAAACAATGGCATTAATAAATATAGCTACTATGTATATAATTTAATTTAATTTAATTTCAGGAATCATTTATAAATGGAACTGCTATAACAACCTCATGATATCAATTTAAAAAAAATCTTATGATGAACCATAATTTACCTCCCAACGGATTTCTAATTAAAACTCTTTCATGCCTCATGATTTAGGCTAAAAATAACTAATAAATATTTGTCGGTGAAAATCAACTAGTGGTTATATTTTAAAAATTAGCCCTCAGTGTATATAAATTCCTAAAATGTTATCTGTAAACGAAATGGTTTAAATAATTAAATCAATTTATTTTTATCTTTAATCTGGACGCTTACCTAATTATACTCCCTTTCAAAACTATTGGAAATAAATTGCTACTACACCACACTCTCACGCGGATGCTGTGGTCGTTATGTTGCTGAATATTTAATCCCCACATCTATTATTTTTAGTACTTAATATTATGTGGAGAAATTTTACCGTTTATTAATCGCTAAAAGAGTTAAGTCCTTCTTATCAGAAGGATTTACATTGTTTATTGAACCCCAGGTCTGGATCCCGACAGAGCTTATGAAATAGGTTGTTCGACACAAATTTTGATATCAAAGACAAAGTTCTATAGAAAGTCATTGGTTAGGGCCTCCCTATCAATAACTTTGGAAAGTAAGGGATATAATATCCTTCTAAATTAGATATTGGCCAACTCATCCTTCTTTAGTGCTTAAATTTCATTAGGACAACTTACCGGGTTGTCTCAAGTAGTCATTAATCTATATTGATTCTGAGAATATGACCTAATATAAAGCTACTTAAAAAAATTGATGACTTATGACAAAATATTTCATGATTATATATATCATAATGGACGGAGATAAAGTATATGTATAGGACTTTCTGGCTGAAATCTTATTTTTAAAAAAATTAAAAGATGTGTCGAGCGTGAAGAATGTAAATTTTTTTTCCCTTCCATGAGTGGGAATGCCAGACGTAAAAAAAACTAACACACCTCGTGGAATTATATTTCTTTCTACAGAAACAATTCGTTTATATTACACATCTATCTATTTATAAACCACTTGATGGGAGGTGGGGGGGGGGGGGGTTATATGATACTCTCACCTTAAGTTGAATACGCTTACATAAAATAAAAGACTTAATTAGTTCATTATACCTGATAGCGTGTCACGTGGATTGTAGCGAAGCGATGGCAAGTGACTGGCAGCGGTCAGGGGTGATGATAAGAATCTATGACATATAATCAAAATTAGAATCAACTTAATTTCGTTCGCAAAATTTTTAGGCATGGTTATCTTGTTATTCTATAATTTCGCCATGCACTTACAATTCATATTTGATTTTAAAAATTAAAATTATGAATTTTTCAAAAAAAAATATAAAAAAATACAAAAAATTATATATATATATTATTTAATTGTTAAAGAAGAAATTATTTATTAATTGATTAATTCCTTACAATTATCTACTATAAAATACACATTTATTTTTTATAAATTATTAATTTTTTTTTAGAAATTCCCATAAGGGGAAAAGACATAGGTAGTAGATAAAATAGTGAGATCTAATTCTGATATTATTTTGAAAATCAAAGTATAAAATAATTTAATAAGATATTATTACATTATTAGTAAAATAATAAATAAAATTAATCTTTTTTTTAAAACATTTGAAAAAAATTTATATACCAAAATATAAGTGTACATAAATGAAATTGATTTAAGTGATTTTTTGATTTTAAAAAAAAATTGAACAAATTTCACAGACTAAATTAGTAGTAAATCATGTTTATGTATTTATTATATAAAGAAAGAAAGAAAGAAAGAAAGAAAGAAAGAAAGAAAGAAAGAAAGAAAGAAAGAAAGAAAGAAAGAAAGAAAGAAAGAAAGAAAGAAAGAAAGAAAGAAAGAAAGAAAGGAAAGAAAGAAAGAAATTAAACAAGAAGAAATGATTTAATAAAAAAAATTTGTCGGTCTTTCAAAGTAAAACGTCATTAAATATTAATGTAAATAAATTTTGAAGTTTTTTTGTAATTTGAAATAATTTGTCAGAATGTGTTCATGTAAAAAAAAATTTCAACATAGGTTTTGAAGCATGAAATATATTTGTCAAATATTTATGAAAAATAAGGAAAGTGAGACATTTTTTATGAATATTTATTTTTGAGATTGTAATGATCAAATATTTATTGGAATTTAATGAGTATATCATTATCTTTTTTCCTCAGGTGTAAGTTAAGATGTGAATTAATCCTTTACTACATAAGGCCTTATTTTTAAAGTAAGAAGAGACGCATTTGGAGAAAAAAAAAATATTTCCCTTTTCATCGGTACTTTTTCTTTGATAAAAATCTTATAAAATTGGACAACACTACATTTTAAAATTTAATATAATAATTTAATTGAGTTTAAAAAATTATGATGTCAAAATCTTTAAAAAACTTATTTTTAAAAATAATCAATTATTTTTTTTTTCTTCTTCATTTAAGGTTTAACAAAACCCGAACTAGATTTTGCTGTATCTGACTAAAATAGAAAAAATATGTTTAAAATCTTGCTTTGAACTGAGAACCGTAGAAGCAATGTTTATTCTAAGAAGGATTGGAGAAAGGTAAAAGAAGCCCATATTATGACTTGAAAAAGAATGATAAGCTAAGGATGGAAATTCCCATGAGGTTGAGAAACAGGGAGTTCAGGATTTTTATCTGCATGTGTCGAGGTTAGGAAGGGTTCCATATATACTATTATCATATTTAATTTGGAAGTGATTGGATCTACCAAGGTATAATCCATGGTAGAAATTAAAATGGAATATTTTGACTGTTTATTATGCTGAAAATGGGAAAATCGAGCAAGAGACCATTGCTCTATGCTGTCAGCTGAGGAGATGAAGGATGAGACAAATGATAATTTTAGGATTCGCGTTGATAGCTAAGGAATGAAAAGAAAAAAATAAGGTACACTGAAATGCTAAGATCTCTGACAATCAAACTATAAGCCTCGTCATTCTAGCTAGGGAGGTAAATGAAAGGGGAAGTGGAATCGTTAGGTTTTGCGATGCTGGTCGAATAGAGCAAGGGTTTGAGTAAAGATGCTAATAATAACTACAAGATTAAAATTTTAGCAAAATCAGGAGATCGAGATCGTGACTCCAAGGCGAAAATAGGATAGGAATTTGGATAAGACGTTAGATCAACCGGAAATGAAGGAGGAAGAGAAACCTATCCCAAGAGTTTATAAAGAGTTTGATACAGACGCAAAAAGGTTTCTGGTAAACGGAAATGACAGCGACAAAGGAGCAGGAAAGTGTACAATAATCTTTTGCGAAACGAAGCGAGAAATACCTGTGGATTGTGCCAAAGTTCGGTGCCCACAATAACGATTGTAGTATACTACAGTTAATAAGGAAGAGAGGGTGGTAAGCTCAAGAGTGTGAAGTGTTGGAATACATAAAAGTCATATACAGGAAAAGAATGTATTAGACATTAGACGCTTAGTAAGAAAGGGTATAAATTTCCTATTATTAAATGTTCATATTGTTTCCTTTAACATCTAATTTCTCATATTTTTTACTAAAGAATTTGATAAGACAATAATGGCGGGAGGGGGGCTTTTGCATTAACATTAACGGTAACTATATCTTTTCCTAAGTTATCACCTTTCATAACATTAAGTGTTCCTACCTTAGTTTTCATAGACTTGGAGAAACTCATCTCCGCCAAGATACATGACCCAAAGAATAGATTATATTTTATGCAGAGATGATTTAGAAAATGTTCGCTTGTAAATAAATTGTCTACGTATTTTTTTTTTAGAATGCAAATTTTTAGGTTTAATTATTTGTTCAAATAAATTTGTTAAAAAAATGTATAATAAAAGTTTGTAAATATATAATTAAAGCCACTATTTTAATTAGGAAATTAAAATTTAGAAAAAAAAAATAACAGAATTATATAAATCGCTGCATAAATATTTACTTCTACGGATAATCTTCCCATTAAAAGATTCATTTTAAAAGGCCCGAATGTTGCTTGGAAATTTTTTGTCAAGCGTAAACTCTAGATTCACCTTATCTATTGAATAATCTAATTTTGATTATTGTCTGTCACTATCTTTCTTTTGGTAGAATGTGTTTATTTTCTATAGCATATTCCTATGTCTTATAGTGCGCATTTCAAGCGCAAATAATGCATTTCACATGACCTCGTTCAAATCGGTAAAATTAGAGTTTGGCGTTAGCAGCCATTTAAAAACGGGAATAGGTTTGCTTTTTCAATTACTTTTTATTATTATTCGCTGTGTAATATTCAGAGTTGTTAAAGGATCTAGATACAAGTATCTAGACCCTGTATCTAAATATAAAAATGTGGTATCTGTATCTGTATCTAGATAGATTTTTGATTAAATAATCTGTATCTAGATATCATTTTAGACGTTGTATCTGTATCTAGATCCATTTAAAAGTATCTTTTAACAACTCTGGTAATATTATATAAAATGTGATATAAACAAACAACTTACTTATATCCTAAAAAAGGAATATTTAGAAATTAAAGAAATTAAAAAACGCAGACGATAATATAATTTTCAAAAGACAAATCCTTTTTTTTAAAGAACTTATTTAAAATGTTGCGTTTGCAAACGCAGCGTTTGAAAAGCTTCAATTTGTGCGCCTGCGCACTATTAGTCTTGAAAATGTTTTTTTTTTCACTTGCTAATTTTTCAAGTCCGCAACTTTTATCTCGAGGGTCTTGTTCAAAACACTGTCCCTGTTCCTACTCACATGTACAGATGGTATCATTTTTCTTCTGATTGGCAGGCGACGGCTTAAGTATAACATATTTTTTTTCAACCTCCCAAAGAGTGTCGTTAAACGGTCCGGTTATTTTAAAAAACGGCTGACCAACTATTTTAGACATAAATTCAAGCCTCGAGATTTCGTTAATAGATGTTCAAACCTTTTCTGCTGCCATCTTTTAGCAAAATCTTCAGGTATTTCTTGGCTAAAATGTTGGATTAGCCGTTTTTTTTAAAAAAGAAATAGAGTCGTTTTAAACAACATTACCTACCCTCCAACAACCAATCATTATTTTATTTATTTTTTTGTTTTATTTATACATTTGATTTTCAAAATAAGATTGTACTTATTTACCTTTAAATCCAAGTTTAATATTTTAAATAAATATTTTATTAACATTATAATCAATTTTCTATTAGTCTGTTTTTTTAAATATAAAATGATTTCCGATAGATCATCAAAAGACTAGCCTAAATTATTAGTTAGTTCATGATCCAGAATAAGAATTGCGCCAATTTTTAGGAACATACATTAACCCTGACCCATATTTCTAAGATCTTTCCTAACCTTGTCCAGTGAAAAATATTGGTCCCTTGGCGAAGATGAAGAAGGGTTTCATCAACGCTGTTATGGCTATGACCGCTTGGGGTAGGTTTTCAAGTAAATCGATGGGAGGGGCCTCCTCTTCACCGACCATGGTCGCGTAGTCTGATGCAAATACTCTGGATAATCCGTGTAATGGATTAGGTTTAGTGGTATAAGGATGCCTAGTACCTCCAAGGCTATGCTGCCGCTCAAACGACATTGATTGCAGCGCGCGTGTTTGCGCACTTATTGGTTGCCAGAACCTTAGTCTGGCCTTGTTCTTGGCAACACGCTCTATACTCTTCTATTTCCTAAATACATATCTCCAAAACTTTGATAAGTATAATACTTTTAAAATATATTGGGAATTTTCCTCATTTCATAATATTCGATAACTCGTTATTTACTGTTATTTCATTATATACTGTTATGTATTATACGACATGTAATATGTAAAATATGTTTTTAGGAGGCTGTAAAAAAAAAATTAATTATGATAAGTTGAAAATAATTTTATCTAAGAACATTATATATTTAAAAAAAAAAATTAAATCATAAAATTGCAATAAAATTTTAATATTTTAAAGGATTTTAATTATATTTCGGAAAATATGTTTTTGCATTTATTATATCATATTTTTATATTTTGATCTTACTTACGGTAAGGGTTCATTTTGAGAACTATTGATTTAAATATTTATTTTATTTTGGATAATTATTTTGTGGGGGAAATTTATCTGATATATTGCACAATATTTACAATATTTTAAGTTGGAAAAATCGTTTAATTTTTTCTAAATTTAAACTCTTTTCGTAGCGAAGGCCAAAAGAGCGGGAGCCAAAATCGGTTATAACCGGCCAGAATGATCATCAATTGCAAAACCGAACTGTGACACTGCCGTTCGAAAATCGAGACACTCATGTCCTATCTTTTGGTCCTAACCCTAGGCCTCTATTCATGTTTAG